ATATATAACATCTTTTGGCATCTGGCATCAGCACACAAAACCCATCCATTCTGGGGCTTATTTTGCAATTTTTTTTCATGTGTAGAAATTACAAAATTCAGTTAAAATAGGCTTTTCCTATTATAAATTTTCTAACATATGTCATTATATCAAACTCAATGAATATTTTTTATGGCAAATATAAAGTGACTGGGGATTTAATGTACAGTATTACTTATAATATTTAAACTCGCTGATAAACATTATATAAAAGCTTTAAAGGAACTTTGTGCATGTCTGATTGGTCAGTATTTGTTAATAATTAGGTATTTTTTGTAAACATACAACTAATGTCCCATTATTACCTTGAAAATGACCAAATTGTAAAAATACAATCAATTAATTAATTCATTTATTCATTTGGCAACACTGCCCGGGAGATACAAAAGCAGGAATCCCACTGTCTCCAGTAGGATGTGCCCTCTCCCAATTAAAAGACATTTCTCTATGTGGTAATGTATGTATTATCAGTTTTGTAAATTAGACTAGCTTAAACATCTATCATGCATTTTATTAAGAGATTATGTAGCGCATTTACTCTCCACATTTTTTGTTAGTACTGCATTTAATGTGATAATACAGGAACATTTAAATCTATTAGATTTATTAGCATAGCCTGTGGCACTCCATGTTATGTAAGTTCATCAGCTAAATTTGAATCAATTTTTATTTTTTAAAACCCATTATTCCATCGTAACGATCTGAGATTGAGCTTCTTAGAGACATTAACACCATAGTACTGTATTTGATGTGATAATATAGGAACTTTTATATCTGATGGATTTATTAGAATAGCCTCTGGTACTCTGTGTTATGCAAGTTCATCAGTTAAATTTGAATCAATTTTTATTTTTTTAAAACCCATTATTCCATCTTAAAGATCTGAGATTGAGCTTCCTAGAGACATTAACACCACATGTTGTGTTTGACCTTCACGCTGCCCACTCTTTGCGTCACATTACCGAGTGCAAATGAACTAGTGTAATTGTGGTTGAATCCTGTATTCACCTTGGAAGAAGCAGTCTTTACAGACACACCACTTTGTCAATACATCTACCGTAGGCTTAATTACTCTGTTTAGAATTTAAGTACTCATTTCGCTCCTGCGGTGACGTCAAAGACCAACTCAGCTGTCTGCAGTAATCAGGACATGTCATTGATTGGTGCACTATTTATTTATAGAGCCTGTTTATTTGTTGAAGTTGAAGTCTATGGAATGATTGCATATTCTCCAACAATGGAGGGAGCCCTCTTTGGCAGGATACAGTAGTGTTGACTGGTGAATCATTAAAAATTCTATACAGCAGTGTTATTTAATATATTTCCGAACAATACTAATCATATTATATCTTATATTTAAATTCTAATGATTTCCATATTTACATTTTAAATTTAACTACTTAAAATTATTTTCTTTCAGTCATAATTAATAATTTATTTTTATTATTTTGTAATTTGTATTCTGTAATTATTTTCTTCTTTCAGTCATAATCAATAAATTATTTTTATTATTTTGTAATTTGTATTCTGTAATTTCTTTAATTCCTTTATGTTTTTCATTTTAATTAAAATGAATAAATCAAATTATTGTGTAACTTAAGTAGACCAACCAATAAAAAGTTGGATGATAATTATTATGGTTTCATTTAAATGTTTTTTAGAAGACATGAAAATAGAGGTCATACCTCTTTTGTTCTTGTGTTTTTATTACTATTATTATTTTTGATGAATTTTTTCAGTGATTATTATTGTTAGTAAATTATGATTTCCTTATCTATTTAAATTATAGAATTGTATTTTGTGTAAAATTTAACAACTTACTCTAAGAGTGTGTGGGAGGTGTGGGGGTATAGATAAAATGGTCAGAAAGAATAAATTTTGAAAATCATAAAAGAACAGAAAGGAAATTGTTCATCCCTATTAGATATTTTTTATGAATAATGCATAAATATAATATGAATGATTTATGAATAAATTATGAATAATTTATGATTAAATTACTTTTAGTGATTGGCATTCATCATGAAATAATTGGTGAAGAAAGAGTTGCTATATTCTTTTTTGTGTTAATGGTAATCTTGCAAATTCTGGTGTACTCCTTGTATCTCTATCTCTATCACTTGTAATTAATATTTCCAAGTAAAGGTAGAAGAATATCCCATTACTCGCATTATGCTGAATTGAGTGTGGGTGTGGTCTGTAACTAATGTAGCAGCCTTAGAGAGGCGTTTTAGTGCATTAAGTTCATATTTACATAATTCTACGATAGGAACTGAAATGAGCAAATGTGGCAACCTCCATTCAAACGAAAGAGCAAATGTGACAACCTCCACGATGTAATCAGTTCTTTAAAGTGCACACAAGCTAGATGTGTACTCAGGACTTTTTGTTTAGAGCCCTAATTCAAGAAGACTTGGTTCTGTCAACCAAAAGTGAGGAAGGGGCTTTCAAACAAGTAACTTTGATATGTAGTTGAGACCCCAAGCTCCGATGTTAAGACTGTATCAGAACCACCGCCTTACCGCTCAGCCATTCAACTCCCTTTGACTTTAAACTCAATTTGGTATGTCTTTTGTTAAAATTTGTTCCAGTAATCCCTGTGTTCTTTAACATGGCATTATTGCACAAGGCAAATGACTTAATGTCTTATTAAATGTGATGCACTATCGTTGCTTGTATCAGTCATCTGGCTGAAATCCAAGGAGACCGATTAAAATTGAACCATGTACCAATGGTCTGAAAGGATCTTCATGGTTCAGCGCACACATAGTGGCAACCACTCTATTTATTTTGTATGTAAACTAGCTTGTCAATTTAAAATTTGGATGAAGAAAAGTTGTCCTCGAAAGATATTGACCATATAATTACTTTACCATTCCTATTTCATTGCGTAGCTGCCATTTACTGATAATCAATTTAAGAATATTTTATGGTGGAAGGTCTATAATTTAGCAATTTAGTTTTTTTTTAAATTATCATCATCATCATCATTGGTTGTTTAAAAAGCTATTCAATATTTAAACTGAGCTTCTGAAGATTTTTCTGTATTCAATATGACAGATGTTATCTTTCACCAAAAATAAATAAATGATGGATGAGGTTGAATGGAAGTGCTACCTGGATGACTTAACATTGACATTGTTTGGTGACCTTTCCAAAATGTCAAAGGGTGTTAGGCCGCAAGGCTTTATAAGGCATTTCAGAGTGTAGTTCTTAATATAGATCTATCATCTGCCAGGGTACAGCATGACGTTTTTTTTAATGAATTATAGGCTTTAATTGCAATATCATTAATTGTAACTGTTTCCTCGATGTCTTTGCAATACAGAAGCCGGGCTGAATTTATTGACTCTGAAATTTTTATTAGAGCAATCTGTCATTGATGATAATTTGTCAACATGCAGTCAGAGAAAGTATTTCATGCTTTCTGTGGATTTTACAGGCAAATTAATAAGAACATATTTATTTGGCAATTAATTGTACATAAATATAGTTAACTTTTTCCATCGGATCCTCTAATTAGTCTTAAATTTGATAAAAACAAAAAAAGACAGAGTAATTCCGAAAAAACAGACATTTTAAGATCTCATCATCATCAGCTGCTTGTGATGTTCGATTTTGACATAAGAGGAGAAATGTGCTGAATTGTATGAGGTTCTCTGATATGCTGTTAGTACAGCAACAGTCTGTTCATAATTGGCAAACTGCAAATCACCATTTTATCGAGTCTGTTTTGAAACAGCGCGCCACCAATGTCTTGCAACTTTTCACTGAGGGTCGTCCAGCAGTCTAGTCTGAGCAAAATTCACATCTTCTTTTGAGTACTTTGACAACCGAAAACACTGCAGGTCTTATATGCCCTTATTCATTTTCTTTTTTTTGGCATTTTGTTTTTAAAGACTAGCTAGCCTCTACAACAACAAGGTCGTGCACCAGTCACAGAACACAGACAAACACTGGTAACTAAGTAGAGTGAAATGCTTAGGCCTCGGGAAGTCCCCCAGTGGTAGTTACCAAGTTCTCGGAAATTTCATTTCAAATTTAACGAAAATGATGTATAGCAAATGGGTGAATGCTCAAACAATTCTTTTTAAATATATATATAATTTAATGTTGCCTATATATTTATTGTATGTAAATGTAGAGTAACCAATAAAATGCAGTTTAACTCACCAAATTTTGTAGTAGAAACAATTTTGTCATTATAATGAGTATAGTAATTATCCTCATAGAAATCGATGAGCTTAGAAGCTAGATTAGAATGAGGTAATGGATCAAGTAGTACAGGTTAATTATTAGATTGAAGATGCTTATTATTTTGTCAGTCGATGTTAAAATCCCTATTAATTATAACAGGGCTTTGATTAGAATCGCTGTAAAATGAATTTATAGTAGTAAGTAGGGCTGATAGATATATGAAGTTTTATCTTTTTTTTGAAAAATTTGGTTAGGAGCAGTGGTTATGTGAACTTCCACTGTGCCCAGCAGTTATTTGCATGTTCAGTGTGGCTATGTTGTATTGCGTCCATGTATGTGATTTGTACTCGATCACAAAGTAGCTACTCAACTATCCAATTCCAAAGCCGAAGACGAATAACCTTATCTCACCTTAGGAAATATGAATTACAGTCTTCGTCTTATATATTTTGATTAATAAAAAATTATTTTATACTTCAAAATTACCCCAAAATTATTATTTGTTATAGTTATAATATTAAGTATTAAATTATGTCATTTTGGTACAAATGGGATGTCTTGTACTTGTAATAATAGTAATAATAATAATAATAATAATAATAATAATAATAATAATAATTGTTCATGGACATCTTTTATGTAGACCCTATTGGTTAAAATGAATGCACACCGTATAACCACAGATCTAGGTCTGTGGTATTTTCTATTGAAACATCATAAGTTGAAGTTGGTCATAATATTTTTCATTTTTTTGCAGAATAACTTTGATATAGCAAATTCCTTATTTTTGTATGTGGCTGAGCCCCTTTCAGACATAGTATCAGAACGACAAAAATTGGTGACCCAGGTCAAAGGTTATCACGATGAACTACAAGATGAGACCGAAGAAATGAATAGTGCCTTGTTAAAGGTAAGAAGTTTGAATATGTCATATTAATTGTATTTTCAACAAAAAACACAATAAATCTTGAGATATGCTTTTTCTGTAATTTTTGGATGCATGGTTGATCCTAGAAAATTAAATTAATTTTTACAATTTTTCTCACAAGTCACAACTCTGTTTCTAGTGAACAATTAAAGATAACTACATATTATGTACTCTGTTTGATGGGACGGTCCCTGCCCAGTGAGTGTCAACACGTACAAAAGTAATCACACGACCTACAAAGGCAGTTAGATTCCATACAATATATTAAGCACGGTGATAACTATAACAAAAGAAATATAAAAAAAAAACATTCATAATTATAACGAGTTAATTACTGTTTTAGTAGTATAATATGATCAGTCCGAGTGACGCTTTTAATATTAGGCATATACATACTAAACTAACGTATTTAATACCATGCAATGGGCATATATACTTATTTTTTGTGAGAAGTTTGAATATGTCATATAAATTGTATTTTGTTAATAATTGTTTAGATTATACATTAAATATCCGTTTATGAATATATAAAATTAAATATATACATTGCTTACACGACTGTTCAGGCGATATGTATCTGAGACCTGTAATTCTTATTGTTGTAATGCATCTTTAAGAACGAAACGTATGTTTAAAGCATTCTGCTCGCTTGTGATTAGATGCGTGCTACAGAATTCCTAAATACGCGTGTAGCATGTTATATTTTTTTCATTCCTAAATTTGTTTTTGGTATGTTTACAGCCATTGTTTTGTATTTTTGAATACTATTTATTTTTGCATTCAGAATAAATATATGACTCATTATAATAATGAGAATTATGAAACCAGATATCATATAGATGTATCAGAATAATAGATTAAAAGCTAGACAAATTGGCATCAGCAAACAGCCATATATCTGACATTTCCATCGATAGTAATACTGTTCACGTTCAATTTCTCAAATACAACGTAAATGAAATTTGTTTTCTAAGGTTTGTACGCACATAAAAAATACCATACAACAGGCTACTGTATATGTTCAACTTTAATTTCACAATATTGGAAATTGCAATAAAGTTTATTTGTATTGTATTTATAGACACATAAAGTACATAAATGATACTTACACTAATGTAGAGACCATAAATCTACAGTACAACAAAATGGTTAATTATAAATTGTTAAAATGATGCAGATAAATGATAATATTTGCCACATTTTGAAATTGCAGTTTTTGTTAATGTGGTTAACAATAGTGGTTATAAATATAATGATTGGACATGTGACTACAGTAATCAATAAATCTCTGCCGATCATCAGCAACAAGCATTTTATTTCAAGCAGACTCTTAAGATACCGTAGTTAACCTTTGAAGGCTTTCAATAAAAATTGCCATCATTATAAGTAAATGTAGTAAAGAATGAGTTGTCCCTCTATATGTTGCTATGGCAACATATATACACCATAACCTTAAAGTACAGTGTAAACATAGTTAAAGTGGGGATTTTGAAGTGGTACTCTTACATATTCAAGTTTGAGTATTGTTCATTCATAAGTAAGTAAGTAACTTTATTGCTTCTCTTTTATAACAGAGGAACAACCGTAAAAGATGTGCAACAATAACAAAGTCAGTATAAACTTAATTACTGTGATTAAATATAGCAAGAAAATACTGCAGTAGAATGAAATATATATAAAAAAAAAAACTACCTTTACAAAAATAGTAATAGAAATAATAATAAATACTAATACTAATAATATAAGTAAATAGGTTAATAGGAAAACCAAACATTTTGTATATAAATATACAGTATATATACATATATACACACATATACACATGCATATCTATTACACACATAAACATCCTGGGATTTCTATTTGTAATTGGTCACAGCATAATGTACTATATATATATGACAATGACGTGAAAAAAAATTAGGAATTTTATTATAAAACGAATTCTGTGACTAAAGCGTTGCCTGTAATGTATTACCTTGTGGATTATCAGAAAATCCTCATAGTAAATCTTCCAGAGCTGATGGTTTTGACATAAAAATCAATCGTAGCAATAGATAAGCAATAGACTTTGAAGTCTATTTTGTAGTGAAAAAAGGGCTTTACACAATCTATATTACTACTGCCACATTTATACATTTATTTACCGCGTTGTTAAACGCGACTCATGAGATCTGATCTGTAAACATTTTTTTTATTCCTTTTATCAACTTCAAACTATTGGGGCACATCACTTTTTTGAGCTTTGAAAATATGTATTTATCTTTCTTGTTTAAATGGACTTGATATATCTCATTACCAAAGAGCTCATTAAAGCTTGTCCACTTTTTAAAGCTTGTCCACTTTCAGTAAAGTAGAGCCTTTCCTCGAATTCATCTAAATGCTTAAATGTCACACAGTCTCCACCATGACTGTACTTCTCCACAGACGGTATATCTTTGATGTCTTTTTGTAACACTATAAAAGATAAGTATTGTTATTGCCTGCAGTAAAAAAGATATCAAACAGGTATATAAAATTAATTGCTATATTCAAAGTCTAAAATGGAATTAATTCTCCTTTAATAAATTTAAATTTTAGTATTACTTCAAGCAGTGATTTGAATATTATTTCGTTTCCACATTATTTTCTTACATTTGGCATTTTCTAAACAATTTTTGGAAGAAAATCTGGCTTTTATTATGCATGCGTACATTGTCATTAAAATACTCAGCAAGATTTCACCTATAAAACAGCTGCAATTTTTATTCAACCTTTTGGATTTAACTGTACGTAACGGTTTAACATAGCAATTACCTTAAACTACTGTAAAATGTTCTATTAAAAAATTCTCTAGTAAAATTTAGCTAAGTGCCTCTCTGAATCTGGCTCATAAGCCGGTGTTTATTATAAGAATGTGCTTTAAACTTACGTAAGGATTCACCATGACGCAAATAACAGCTTGAATGCGAATTCTGGAAATTTAAGTGACTTTTTTTTTAGCGCAGTAATAACACTGTTAAGCTGCTACACATGAGCAACTTGTTATTTTTAATGATTAATTAAGAAACTTTGCGCGTTTAATCCCACTTAAGTAGCTGTTGTTAAAGCCATGAGCTTTAGTTTGACATCACACTCTGCTGTAAACACTGCCCTCAACCTATTTTCTAATTTTTGGAAAGCCTAAAGTAGTATTTTCGTTTATTGTTTAAATTCGTAAGTTGTATTTCTCAAATTGTATTCAAAGCATGTGGTTCAATAAACAGTGAATGGTTTGACTATAACCTTATTACAAGATTTGGTAATCTGCATTCATTCCTTAGCCTGAAAATGTTCTGAAATCCTGAACATCCATTCTGTGATTGGATGTGATGAAACTGAGAATTGTCACTATCCTTTATTTTTCATGAATGTAACAAATTAGATTAATTTATAAGATAGCTTTTAGGGTAGCAAAGTATTGATTTCTGAAAGTTGTTGGGTTTATGCTATTCAGTTGCAAGTATTATAACTATGATCAGAAGAATAGTGCTACTGTTTACTCTTAAGTCCTGCCCCAACTATCACATTTGTGAGGTCTCGCCACAAAATGAGTCTCATGGTTAGAAATTCAAAAATTGAGTTTATATTATATTTGGGTAGATCACATTATAGGCTTTCATTTGGTCTTTGAATGGCTTCCCTACTATAAGTAAATCCAGAGATGTGAGCATTTAAAGTTTAGGTGTATAAGAACCACGTTTTGAGAAAATCGATCTGAAAGATAAACTAACCTGTACAAATAATATTACTAGAATTACAGAATATGTGCAGAGAACACTGTTTTGGCAAGAAAATTCACTTGCAAAGTATACAATCATAAAATATGAGTATCAAGTTATTTAAAAACATTAAAATCAAAATTTTGTAAAAATATTGACTTTGGCCTGTTTTGGTGAATATCTCAATATGATTTCACCAACGATGCGTCTCATTTTGTGGTAAGACCTCACATTTTATTTGACAAAAGACTTGTATGCCCATATATAGTCATGATGTTTCTATATATATTTGCATAATGTGATGTCATCATGACCATATTTAGGCATGTCACATGTTTTTTTCAAATAAAATTAGTCTAAAAAAGGCCTTATGTAAACGCTTTCACGCAAACTTTGTGATGTAATTTTATTACAACTGTGCAGTGTCATACTTACTGTAGAATATGAGTTTTAGTATCAGCCATACCTCTTGTTTACAAATTAGAAGAAAAATTTCTGACATTTTGAAAAAGTTGTCAGTTTGTACGTTGTGGGAATTCACTATTGCTAATAACGCTGATTTTGTGTGGGTGGGTGGGTGGATATAAATGAAATTAAATGACAGATGTTCGCATTTTGTTAGAGTTTCCTCCTTGTATCCAGGTAAATGCTTGTTTGCCGTAAGCATTACCCAAAGGATAGATTTCTAGACAGTCTATGGGAGTTTGAAAGCAAACTTGGATCAATATGAATTACATTAATTTTATTATAGTTAAAATTAATTGATTCCTGATTATCTTCCTATCTAGTGACATTTAACAACACTGTAGATCATTGAAAATGAGTGAATGAAGCTTTATTTGCATACATTAATATTCAGATTATTCAATGTGAATACTAAGGATAATACACAAAATTCAAGACTTACTTCCAATGAGGTCCTTTCAGTGGTGATTGAGCAAATACAACGGAAGACATATCCCTACTAGTTTTTCTGAATACTGTAGTGTACTAGATGGGCCATATTGTACATGGGACCAATGGCTTCAAGTTGAACTGTCTCTTTTGAAAAAAGGGCTACGCAAGAACAACAGTGGATTGAATTTTGTCCAGGTACCAAAGTTAAACAATGGATCTCCACGATTCAGTGCACCCGCAGGGGTTACCACCAGTTTGGCCGACTGAGCTACGAGGCTCACTTTATCCATGATGATGCTATCTTCCTCTTCACATAGAAACTATATAAATGGGTGCTTATAATGTTTCAATACTCTCTAGGGAGCTGAGAAGTGTTCTATAAGTGTTGGATCCAGTGACCAAGATTATTAGTAGCGGATTTAAGAGTCTTGAACGGGAGGGGCTGATTGATGGTGGGCGGGCGCGTGAGTGAGGTATGGGGCTGAACAATTAAATAATATGAGACACTAGCTCACAAAATAAGGTGATATATACTGATTTTTATCTCCTTGAGCATAATGTTTTTACTACAAACATTCCCAATGCGGGGGGTGGAACTGGGGGGGGGGCACAAGCTTTTTTTGGGGAACCCTAGATATGCCACCGCAAATTATGCATAGAAGCTCTGGCTTTGGAAAGCCTCAGGGACAAACTTCCCACGTTTTCTTCCCAGGCATAATAATTAAGGCTTTCTGTGACCAACATACTAAATCCTATCTTACTTGACAATTTATTATTATTTATTTTAATAATATTTGAAGTTTAACATTTAAATTCGATAACATTTAAGCTTTTCTATTACAGCTGTCTGATACAGTTTCCAATCAAACCATGTACCTCATATCTTGAATATATAGATCCCCAATAGATTATTTCACTCTCTTTAACTAGCAGCTCGTTTTCTTAGTGGTTATAAAAACGTTTATAGTAATGAATTCTGCCATATTTTCTATCAATTTCTATAGAATAATGAACATGAAGTCAGACTTTTCAGATCACCAGGACATTTCTAGATAGAAGTTTTAATTATACTGAGATCTGTTGTAATCTTTCTAATTACTTTCATGATAGATTTCCCTTCGTCTGTCTTTAATTCTCAGAGTCAACGAAATTATGCAGAAACTTGGACGAAGATGACGAAAGCACAAACTCAAGGCTCAATCAAGGTAATTATTATTTTTAATAAGCCATACATTAGTTTACCTCTATATATAGTTTTAAATTAAAAACCTAATTAAATTGTCTGAATGCATTAACTTTTATAATTATTATATTCTGCTGATGAAAAAATATAAATAAAATTACTTTACTTTCACCAGTATTTAAATTAAAAAACAGACAATTAAAAAGCTAATAATTGTCAAACATTTGAAAGGAATCACATTAAATTTTACTATTACTATTAATATTGACAATCATAATTAATAATGATTAATGGCTGTGAATTTATAAAGGCTATAGTTTTAGATTAAGAACCTAATTAAATTGTCTACATTCATTAACCTTTTATAATTTTGTTATATTCTGCTGATGAAAAAATACATATTGACCCGTATTTAGAATAAAAAGAAAATTAGAAAGCTTTTGAAAGGAATCACATTAATTTTATTTATTACTATTACAGTTGAAAATCATAAGTAATAATAATGTTTATGGCTGTGAATTTATAAAGCACTAATTACAAAATGTATTCACTGGCAGATCCATTCCAGAGTTGAGTTTAGTGGTTCAGACAAATTTTCTTAGAAGTCAAAGTAAAGATTATTCAATGGTCAAAAAAACACCTTGCACAGTAAATAACCTTCTCAATGTGCTTTTAAGCTACAAAAAAACTAGAATTTAATTTATGATCAGACGCGAAGGGGAGGAGGAAGGTGCACACTCTCAAATTTTGAGATAGCGTCCCCACCACTACCGAGTACACGCAGGTACCTCGGCATCAATAGCTTCCACCAAGGATAAGTCTGCAGTTCTACTACTGTGCGCTGCTAAGTTGGCGGCAAAAAGGAAATTACTTTCCTCATATACACAGTGTATTCTATATTCTGTTTTTCTTTAATGTATATATTTCTATTTATATCTATGTAGTTTTATGAGTAATATTTTTTTAAAATGTTATTCCTAATGGACTTGGATTGATTTGATTATGAATTCTGTATAGGTGTAATTTTTGCCCTACCTGACGTGGAAATGTACCGAATACTCAGTACATTTGAAAACAACTGCGAAAAAATTGCAAGTTGTTCTCGGTTGGGACTCGAACCCACGATCTCCAGATCACTAGCCTGGCATCATACCTCTAGACCACCGAGCTTGCGCCTGATGGCCAGGGTTGAATTCGAGTGCAAGTAAGCAGCGGGTACTGCAGTGTTGATAGTAATTGTTATTGTTGTGATGGAATAATAGACAATAACTGGATTTGCGTCAGAAGACTGTTTTCAAATGTACTGAGTATTCGGTACATTTCCACGTCAGGTAGGGCAAAAAAAAAAATACACCTATACATGTTTCTCCTGACGCAAATCCAGTTATTGTCTATTATTCCATCACGACAATAACAATTACAAGCGTCAATTTATTTCCATTTTCTTACAAACTGTGAACAGTGTCCCTAAAACCAAGTACAGTGTTGTACACACTCAGTTCTATATTTAAAGTCTTGAATCTTCAATATTCAAATTTATCATACAAATACAACTGCCATAAAATCTATATTCATGCATTATGTATTTATATGACTATTATGTAATGATAACCCAGTGACGTTACTATCATGCATTTAGCTATGTATATTCATGATGCCAGTGGTTGCGATATAAGTCATACCTTATATAATTACGTAAGCAAGGAATAGGTGAATCAAGTACATGAATCGTTTATTACTTCCCTGTCGACTGATCTTGTGTACACACACTTGAAGTTACCGATCAATTACCGTTGCCAACACTTACAACAAATTGCTGTGGAATTCAAAGTGCTGGTGGAATGTTCAATAAAATGAGAGCCTGTTAACTGGGACCTTCCAAAATGTGTACAAGAGAAGCGCCCTCAAACGTTTAACTTATTCCTGATAAGTAGACGATTAAGTTATTGTATTTGATGGATCCAAAAACTTAGCTTACCCATTGGGCTACTGCAGGCTTTACTTGTTGGCTTGGCTATTACTGGATCAGCCTAAGTTACGTTGTCTTGCTGTTTGTAAGAGCTGGAACTTAGAACTCAATTCTACATATTGTAGAACACAGTGTAATAAAAAATGGGAACCTGTGCTCTGCTTAATAAAATATTTTTAGTTCAGAGTTTTTATTTAGAATTTTCTTTTCATTAATAAATAATGAACCAGAGCATTAGGTTAACCCAAGGTTCTTCCAAAATGATACAATTGGTTCTTAAATGTGCACACAAGCTAAATGTATACACTGGACCTCCAGTTCTAAGCCCTACTGTAATTTCTATTACTTATAGGAATAGTCTTTAGGGAAGTTCAATTATATTCAGTACACGGCAGCATATATTTTTTTTTTCAATTTGTGATATACAATATGTGGATAAAGAATATGATAATGAAGTAGGCATTTCAAAATAAGCAAACGCATAATGTATGGCATTCCCATAAAAGCAAGCGATCATGACAAAGAAGAGCAAAAAAAAAAAAAAAAAAATACAAAGATGTATCAGTGTCTAATCATATACATCTTCTGTAATAATAATGTATATTCTCGGCTTCTTCTTTTAGTACAATTTTGTATAATGGTCTGTTTTAATAATATTCTCTCTCCATAGAATCCTTTCTTAAGTGTAGGTTGTAATTAAACAGCCCAGTAAAATATTTATCTGCTTTTTTATTTTAAGGACACATACCCATGTCTAATGGTCTGTCTATTTTGTTTTTTCCTCAGAATCCGTACTTAACAGACTGTTATAATCAACATAACTCATATGTATTACAACTTTCATTAGTTAACGCATATAATGCTAGTCTACAGGAGCTAACAGTACCACATATAATTCAGGTAAGCTGTTTACTGATATGTATTTTTCTTTACTTCAGATTTTATTTTATATTTATTTTTCAAATTTCTTTATTAACTTCAACTGGCAGATTAACTTCAACTGGCAGTTGAAGTACTGAATTGCGAGAAATTTACAATATATACAGTAAACAAAATGCTTAATAAAATTGTTATCTTAAAATACAAAAGGGAAAATTGAAATATTAGAGTATATAGTTCAGAAGTAAGAAATGAGAAAAATAGCTTAATGCAGACAATTCTCCCTGTTAAGCTTTACTCAACCCTTACTAACTTTAGTTAATTGGAATATTTGAGTTAATGTTCCCTAGAACTCAAATGTTGTGAGATTTAACTTGCCGTCTTGTTCTTTTTCTAGAAAGTTGGTCTTTTTTTATATCCAAACTATATATAAATAACATTCACCTATATAAAAATTTGGGGGATAGTCTGTAATACATTGTTTTAATATTGTACAAAAATTAATGCATTCTGGGCATCGTTGAAATTTACAAAGACATTTACTTTAAATAATGAACCAGTTGTATATAAATGTTAACGAAATCGCTGAAAATTATTTGTTACAACGGTTTTTCTAAAGCGTACAATAATCTACAAATTATGAATGCATGGATCAAAATTGGTATCAATCAGCTTTAGCATCTACTATTCTGGTAAGTTTTATGAGATTATCCTTTAATCTTAATAAATCAGGATAGGATTGTCCTGGAATCTGAATTATTACAGGTACAGTTATCCTTTAATCTGAGTAGATTAAGACAAGATTATCCTAAAATCTGAATTGATACAGATGAGATTATCTTTTAACCTGAATTAATACAGATAAGGTTATATCATTAAAATTTGAATTATTAATAGAAGGGTGCATGTCAAAATTATTCAATTGTCACCTTAAATCTCTTAGAAGCAATGCATGGGTGGTATTTTAAATTTCTATTTTTACTTTAGTCAAATAGAGCTTATTGACATTTAAAATAAATGACGTCATTAGTCCAATTCAATGGGGTTAACTACCCATCGATCACACTTAAACAGAAATAAGTCAGTATGTCTACTGAGATTTACGGTAGTATTGTTATATCATGTTCTGCTAAATTTTCCCATTGCAACTAGTACTGAGAACATTAATCATGAGACAAAGTAATGAGTTTTTAGTGATTAATTATCTAAGCAATTCACTTAAAATAATCCTGCTATTTGTCATGTGTAAGTGTTGCCGATTGCGCAAACATCAAGTGAAAAGATGCAAATTTATCCCGGTCGAGCTTATCTTTTCCCGAGGGAGCAGAATTGCAACGAATCAATATTTAAAAAAAAACAGCCCAGATATATTTTGACATGGATGGCCCACCAGTCAACTCACTCACAACTGCACATCGGCAGACATTTTCTTTTTCGTTACGGCATTACTGGAACAAATTTGCATTTCAGCCTCCGTTACAATATGTAAGAAAATGTTAAAACTTTATTGTTTGCATGTGAATTGACAGCATTTGAGTACCTGCTGTCCTGGCGGGAATTGCACCTTAAATTGCTGGGGAACGGTGTGGTTGGTGTTTAATTTTATCTGCTTTGTTTTATTTTGTTTTCTCACTTTCCAGTTTTCTTCTGTTAGATGTATTTTATCGCCACATTATGTCAGTAAAAAAATACAAAAAATGAGCAAAAAGTGCATTGAACTTCATGAAATTGCGCTGATATAAATGATGTAATGTATGTGTGCATGGGTGATAATCTAATTAATTTCAATGGCACCAAATTTTAATAATAAAAATTGGTTATTCTGTATGTGGATTAGCAAATACATTTTGGATGAACACATTGTGAATATTGCTTGATTTGGATTATATATATATATATATATATATATATATACAGGCTTATAAATCCTTGATTTAAATTCTCGAAGGATCTGAAGATGAACATTTATGACATTTTGCTATGCATCTGCTTGGGTTGTTCAGTTTTACACAATTTAAAGAACTGGTTGACATTTACAAGGACACTAGATATACAGTATTAGGAATCATATTAGAAAAAAATAATAGAGCCCATATAGGGAATTAATGAACTCAAACTAATTAGTTAGTTATTAGTTTGAAGTACGGTTATCCGATTTAAAGCGAATCATGTTCAAAAGGTATACCATGAAAGATAAATCGTTTATATCAGAGAGCACTTTGTATGAACATTTTCTTTCCATAATATATAATTCATTATATCATATGAGGTTCAATACCAAAATTTGTCTGCAAAATTTACAATACATCTAATTTACTGCAATCAATAATTGGAATAAACTGCCTTTGGCTACTCAGAACATTAAAAAGTAAGTTTTAACATTAAAATGATTGAATTAAGCTAAAGAATAGTTCCCTTGTAAGTACTTTGTATGAACATTTTCTTTCTATAATGTATAATTTGTCATACCATTTGTTGGCAAAATTTTACAATACATCTAATTTACTGCAATCAATAATTGGAATAAACTACCTTAGGCTATCCAGAACATTAAAAACAAGCTCTAACATTAAAATGATTAAATTAAACTAAAGAATAGCTCTCTATTAAGTACTTATGTATGAACATTTTCTTTCCATATTTTATAATTTGTTATACCATATGAGGTTTATGTACCAAAATTTGTCTGCAAAATTTAAATACATCTAATTTACTGCAATCAATAATTGGAATAAACTTCAGTTATCCAGAACATTAAAAAAAAGTTCTAACATTAAAATGATTAAAGAATTAGGCTAAAGAATAGCTCTCTAGTAAGCTAGGAATTTAGTTAGAGCGATATGAAATACGGTGCATTTATTCAGATTAGCATGACAATATAGGCCTACTGGTAATTTATACATTGTAAAATGATATAGTATGATAGATAGATGTTTATAAGGACTTCAAGGGGGAAAAAATTAGCATGGAAAATTCTACAGTACTTTTTAAAAATAAATTATGCGTGGGCAAGCTTGAAGGCGAGTTATTGATGAGATGTAAAAGGCTTAGAAATGCTTTTATAAATTCTTTGATATTAAGCAAGGACGGTTCTTAAACTGATCAGTAATACTTATCTTTAATCACGTTTAGATAATGGAATTGTTTTTGATTGCCACAAATAGTCTAGCAGTTTTTTGTCAGCATCACACATATCAAATTTAAACTGGAATTTAACCATCAATATATAGCTTCTACCTCCTCAGGGCTTATAAGTTTGTCTCAAACAGGCTGTGAATTTACTAACGATCAGTAGCCAGGTCTGTATTTGTTTAGGTTCATCTGTACAAATTTAACAAAATTGTTATTATCCTTAGAAGTGTATCTACAGGCAGGATCTGACACAGAAGCCCAGAAGGCGGTGATCCTAAGTTGACAATTGGCCTCGCATTGCCTGCTCTAGCCAATATATATTGACTGGCTTTAGCTTCTACTCATTGGCAATATTATTGAGAAATTTGATACTATAAGAGTGTCTACAATGAATGTACTTAAAAATAGCCTGCTTCTCGTCTGGAGATTAAATCGGCTTTTGTGCCGTGTGCATGAAGCTATTCTAGTGTGAGTCTGCAATAATCTAGAAAGTCAAGTTGAGAATAAGGATAAGAGCCATATGGTAATATGTTCCAATAAGTGTTCAAATCAAAGAGATCAGGCAAGATTCTTCATACCATTTTTCGTGAACCTCTCATCTGCCACAAATGCGAATAACTTTTATGATCCTCTCATACGAGTTTTCAGAAGTTATTCAAAATTCTTAAAAAGCAAACTCACTCGCTGTCTTCTCGGAAAGGACTTTAAACCGTAGGCCCAGTGTACGCATTTGACTCGTGTGCACTTTAAAGAACCCAGTACATCCTTCGAGAAAAGAAGAGGGTTACCCCGGTGTACTGGCCCATTCAGTCCCCTGTCGTTTAATAGATATGCCACATAGGATAGTGTTTAAGTTCACTAATTGGCATATCTTTGGGGCTTGTGCATAAAAAAATGAAATGCAATGAAATCCATGTTCTCTTCCTCACCAAATTTTTAATTTCTATTTCCTTTATTTTACGCCGGGCACTCACTGCATCGTACAACGATCGTACGACGAATCCAACTTCGCTCCCTGTAAGCGCTAGATGATGCAACGCCAGCTGATGATTGTCAATGGCAGTCTGAACTGATCATGAATTCAAAACCGTTGTGCACGCACCAAAGCATTTTGTTCTCCATAGAATGGCATCGGCCGACGACAGTCGTGCTCAGTGAGTGCCTGAATTTAGGCTACATATTTGTTTTTCTGGACTTATATAGGATTTCATTTGACTGCTTTAATGTGAACTGTTTGTATTTAATCTTAGAGAGAGTTCTATCTGGTACAATTTTCTATAATTGCCTTTGAGTTATTCATTATTCAGGCAGTTCCACACATATTCAGGATAGAATCGTAGCTTCATTACTTTGCCGCCTTTACTCATTATACTTTATATTTGATATGTGTTTCCCCTAAGCTATAATATAATCTCTGTTTCCTCTTACAATATACTGCCCTGCTTTAGCAACTATACAATATAGCGCCCTCAACTACTACTGTTTGAACAAGTTAAATTTTCTTAAAATATACATAGTTTGAGGGAACCTTAACTATAACAACATAAACAATTTGGTGTTTTCCTCCCTGTCCATTTTATCATCTATTTATCACCATCAAAGGCTCATTACATGAAATATATTCAATATCAACATGCATGCACTCCATCATACTCCCCACATTTATTTATTATTTGTTCAACAGTATTGCATGAGGGTGAGCCATCCAGCATGAGCTGATTAGACAGATGTAAAAACTTATTTTTTACATCTCAATAAGCTGATCATACAGAAGGTGCGCTTGGCATAACACATGTATTTAGAAGTAAATATCTTAATTTGATGTAAAATCTTGGATTTTCCTCCCAGATAAGACAGTCCCAATTCTGAAGTCAAGTCTCGGATAAAGCATCATATTGTTCTTACCTATTGGAGTACTGGGTTGTTGGCTTTTTGACAAGAAATCAATATTTTAATACTGTACACTAGTATTAATGCTATTAAGGCCAAGTTAAAAAAAAACAGTAGTTTCTCATCCTAATATTTTGAAAAAAGGAGAATGAGGGCACTCTTTCTTTTTTTTAATTTTTTATTCCGAGATGGCAAATCCAGGATGGTTGATGGGAAACAACTACTACTTTCTCACTTTTACCAAGTAGACACATTGAAAGCAAATATAAGAAGCACTAGACATGATTCATACCATCCCCAACCACGAACGATTGAGAGAGGAATTTTACTGGTGTGTTAGCCAGATTTTTGTACATTTCATGAAATAAATGAAATTTAAAAAAAAAAAAAATGGTGAGGCAGAGAAAATATATGCACGAGGGATGAGAAACTAGTAATATTTTTTATTTGGCCTAATACTAAAATGATATTATTATTGATGCGGACTAAAACATGTCAATAAAATTGTAGTAAAAAATATCATACATGTTTTATGCCAAGGTCAGATGCAACTCAAGGACATGTATTTTTCTTAAGAAACATGGATAAATATTGCCTGGTAACACATATTTTCTATAAATTCTGTAAGAGAAGAAATTACAAGAAGCCCAAGAGGTTTATAGATCCTAACATGAATTGGATTTCTCACAATTGGAAATTGAAACAGGTGGGACAGGGCGAGGTTGTTGATCTGATCCGGACACTCCTTTTGTGAAAATTCTGTTTACATATTTCACATAGAAACAAAAAAGTCATGTGGAATAATTTAAGTATTGAACATCATTCCTCTTAATCAACATTTGCTAGTGAGTGCGAGTTTATTTGTACCACCGATAATAACAGAGTGCCTATCTATTAATAATAAAAATAATAATAATAATAATAATAATAATAATAATAATAATAATAATAATAATACTGTTGTAATACTATATCTATGACATATTTTAATTGTTATTTGATCTTGTTTAATTATTTTACATCTTTAATTGTAAATTTATTTTTATATTCAGTATTATATATTATTTTGAATTAATTCATTTTGTAAATTGAGAATATGATTGATTGTTTTTTTCCCTATTCCTCATATGTATATTTTATATATATTTTTCATTTGATTGTTTCATTAGGGTTACTTAATCTTAATTGTTAATTCATATTACTATTAATTAGTTTCATATTCTCTTTTGACTTGTTTTATTGTATGTATTGAGGCTCCCTAACGATCAGCTTTGGCTGGGTGGACCACCCTCGTTAAAGGTTGTTAAAATAAAGTATATTAATAATAATAAACATAATCATAATATGAAATTTTGAGCAGATTCAGGAACTACATTTAAAGAACATGTCATTTTTTCTTAATCACAATATAATTTGTTTCTGGCATAAACAGAGGTCTATATTACTATTCATTGCTGTTCCTTGTTTTCCGATGATTTATTTTTCCTATAAAAAAAAAAAAAAGACAAAATGAAAATAACTTTATGGAACAGAAAACATGTCTAAACAACCATAAATCACTTATTAATCTGGATTAAATTTCTGTTATGATATCAATTTAATTTAATGACAATTATGATCCAGTTAATATAAACATATTAAATCATTTTATATTACCATCTAGCAGTGGGGCATACATTGTATGTGTTAATCTATTTAATAACCAGGTAATTAGCAATTTGTAATATCTATAACAGATTCATTATTCACTTTTTATTAGTGGATTTCTGTAGTTCTTATATGCAGATCATAGAATATCTCTCAATTATGCTGAGTTAATATACGTTTTAGCAGTTATGTGCAGATTGAATTTACTCTGTAATTCCATCCAAAAAGCCTGGTAAATCAACTGTGAAATTAACTAGTTTATTTTTAGTATTATAGTCTCTGATCCACTGATTTACTGAAATAAGTCACTATCAGGAGATGTGCTTTCAAAGAGAAATTTCAACTTCTTCTGAAATTGTGTGCCATTTGCAAAGGTTTGTGGACTTAACAGTACTAAGCAAGATTATGGTCAAACACTACCACCAGAAATAGGCATGGTGAATTTATTATTTATTCATTAGAACATATGCCTTTTGTATCGGCAGCTCCCGACAGTCAATTAAATATATTTTAAGTTATCTCTTTTGATTTTATATTTATACAGTATGTGTCTTTTAACTTTTGTGAATGTTTAATGTTTTGACATTTCTGAAAGGACAAATGGATGTGATTAGCTTAACTATGCTTAATACAAACTACATGGAAAAAATCAGTAAAACAAAGAAAAAGCAAAATTTAATTGAACAACATACTAATTTATTATGTGTTGAGTGACAATATCTTGCCAGTGCTATGAATGTAGACAATAAAACCTGGAATTGTTAATGCAAAAAATATGCTAACTGGAATTTGAACTTTATGGCTTAGTCTTCAATGTTATATTTAATTTTGTAAGTAGTAATATTTATTTACTAATCATTTCACATAAATTAAACTAAGTATTTTGCCCAGATAAATAATAGACAGATTCAGTGAGGTTTGTTGTTTGTGTTACAGTGCGATCAGCGTGAAAGTATAGGAATAGGTAATGTTATGGTTACGAAAACAACCACCCACTGTTAACATGAGAAACAAACGGCAAGGCAAGGCAATACGATTGTTCAAAATAGTGTTTATTTACTTATTCTAGCATTCTCCTTGCATTGTGGTGAAAGCCCAAAGCTGCTTATTTATCTTCATAAATTAGCTGAATCATCAAAGAAAACAATTTTAATATTGATTAATTAGATAAAAATTTGAAATGTAATAATAATAATAAATAATATTTTTTGGGAAACGTCACTTTTTTATCAATGGAAGGTGCATTGAAAGGAAATTACATAGTCAAAAAAAAGATCACAAAACAGCAAAATTTTCCCTATCAAAAATAAAAGATAACTAATACAATTTTACATACTAAAAGTACTGAAATTTTTGAGCCAACAAAGCAACCAATACCTGTTGATTAATAGCCATTTACATAATAAATATTTAATTAAATAATTCCTAATGTAAGGTATGTCATAGAGTTTTTAAGTTAATGGGATAGTTTTCCCGGAGCCTTACTGGAAATCCTGAACACATCCAGACTTAAGTAATGTAGTAGAGAATTCAAGTATTCAGATATAGACTCAAGTAGAAAACCAATAAGCCTACAATTGTACAAAGATAATTTCTGAAGATGAATTTGAATTGTGAAGTAATAAATCATTTGTAGGTCTTAGGATTTAAAATTATGTATTTCATATCAGTTAATAACAATCATCCAGTGGCATTAAATACCCATTCAGGTAACAAAATACATTGCAAGGGAATGCTTTGTAATTCTTTGGGTGAGAAAATTAAAAGGTGTATCAAGACAATAAAATGGCAGCACAACAATTTTAATGTTGCTTTCACTTAATTGTTTTATGATTTTTATGAACAAACTGGATGTACATCTGTCTCTTATACACATCTTCTATGACATATTTTAATTGTTATTTGATCTTGTTTAATTATTTTACATCTTTAATTGTAAATTTATTTTTATATTCAGTATTATATATTATTTTGAATTAATTCATTTTGTAAATTGAGAATATGATTGATTGTTTTTTTCCCTATTCCTCATATGTATATTTTATATATATTTTTCATTTGATTGCAAAATACTGAAAAACAACAATGCTGTGGGAAACAATGGCTGGATCTCAGTAGAGATAGAAAAATGATAAGCAACAGCTAAAAAGTAATATATATATATATATATATATTATCTATTTTAAATAAAACCTCATATAGCCAATGGCAATGCATGGTGGGTAATTTCACAGCTGTCAGGTTCAGGCCTAAGCTATCAAACATGTAAAGCTATAACAGAATCCACAAGGGAGAACTGACCCACTTATTATGATGTGGATCATGTGTTGGTTATCATTTACAGAACATGATCTTTAACAACTTCGTTAACACTCAAAATATATCTGGTGTTACAAGTAAAGCTAGTCAAATCGTATTAGATAGTGAGGATTTGCAGACTACTCTACGCATTTTTACTCTAGTTTTGTGGACTAGCGGTTGTCTTTAGAATAGCTCTGTATTGTATATTTTATAGTGAAACATTCTCCGAATTCTACACATTCAAAAGCGGTAAGCCATGTGAACTTGTTCTATGTTATATTGCTTAGAGTAGTGATAGGAAGGATACAAATGAATGTTCCTATTTGAGTCTTATCATTTTCTAATCCCCTCAAGATGTATTTTTTATTGTAAATATATGAAATAATGATTGATTGACTGTACAGTTAGATGTGAACTGTCATTCCTAACATGCATGATATATTGCGAATACAGCTACATCTTCAGAAGTGTGTAGGTGTCTTAATGTATTCTATGCAGCACTGGTACCACACTTTGTGTTTGTATTTCAATAATCATGTTATTCATTTATTCATCATTCTAGTTATTTGACTTAAAAGGGTTATTCTTCCAATGAGGCTGATATTAAGGACCTTATACATTAAAAATAATAATGATAATGGTGATAGTAATATGTTACTTAATAATAATAATAATAGTAATAATAATCATCATCTTATCATTGTCATTATAATCTTATCTTCATCTTATTCAGTCATATCATCACTATCAACATGATATCTTTATTATCACTATCATATCATATCATCATTCATTATCATAATATGATCATCATCATTATTATCATTATCATTCACATCTTCATCATTATACTGTCATCATTATACTGTCATTTTTATCATCATCAGTATCATCACTATCATCATCATCATCATCATCATCCTCTTTAACCTCATCTTCCTTTATTTTGAGTATAGTTCCAAATGTGTTGGTCAAATTGTCGCCATGGAGCTTCTAAAGTTATATTCCTTATCTTACCATGTACTTATATGAAAAATGAAATCTTCCGTCTCAAGCATGTTTAACTGTCTCTTGAGATAGTAGTCATGTACACTGTTGCAATATATGAAAAATATGCACTATAATCGTGAACAAATTATACATAGTGAGACTATTTTTCCTTCCAATGACAGGATTAGGGAAAAAAAAATGCAATTAGTGTTAGTTTTCTTGATAGCCATACACTATCAAATATCCATTCGTCTTCCACTGGTATCAATAATGCATGTGAAATTCAAAGTGTATAATTATTCAATTCACAGTTGTGTGATCAAGGAAAACGGATGGATGCTATTGTGACGTTAACCAGAGCAGTTGATGCCAAAGAGAACATTGGAGACATGCAGTTTCCTAGCAACAAGCCCAAGACCTCGCAGTACATGTTTACCAAACCTGAGGCGAGCGTAACTGGTGTAAGTGGAAATTTATTTTATTAAAGCCCTGTCCAGACTATCAAATTTTATTTAACAAAAACATGTGACATGCCTAAATATGGTCATGATGACATCACATCATGACCATATATAGGCACACGATGACTATATATGGGCATACAACAGTTTTTTGTCAAAGGAAATTTGATAGTGTGGAAAAAGCTTAAGAAAGCTTAGTTTTTCAAAAAGCAAAAATCCCAGTTAATGATTTGCATGAGTAGCTCAGCTGGCATTTAGACATACCTCCAGAAAGAAAATCTAAGATTTACTTTGAATTTTGCATGCAGTGTCAAAATTAGTTTTTTGATTGGCTCATAAACTTGAAAAAATTCTATCATGAACAGATAATTTCACATAAGTTTACCTTCATAATTAGTCCAAGTGCGTTTTCAGGAAGGATAGGCCTTTACCCGTGGTACTACGGTATAAGAGGCTACATTTCAGCCAATCACAGTATAAAGGGAATAGGATGTTAACATTTGCAACAGCATTATTGAGGCTTGGCCTTTATGATTACATGGAAACCTGAGAACTCCACTTTAATTAACTACCAGTACACGATCAGCAATCAAGAGAAAGAATATATATGTACTTAATTACTTTTTCATATTAACTTACATGCTGAATCTCCAAGGCTAGCTTTGCTTGCAGTCTAAGAATTTAATTAAAATGTATTCATAAAAAAAAATTGCAGTCTGACATTGGACTGACTACATCATTAATTGAATATGTCCTTAGTTTCATAGATGTAATTAGTTATAAGGCAATAGTCTATATCTTATAACTACTCCAAAATTATTCCTTTACTGAGATTAATGGAATCGACATTAGAGACATACCTTAAAGCTACATGGTTATAGTCGTTGTCAATGTATCTTTATATTTGGGATTCTTTAAATTTACCAATATAAAACAACTTGGTAATCACTGTAATACCCTATTCAGACTACACTCCGTTGCGATCGGTTGCGATGTAATTGATGGTATCAGTGGTAATCTAAAACTCCTGATCACAATCAACGAGCCCATTCAGACCAACACAAAATAAATTTTACATGATAGGGCCTGGGCCTCCGGTGGCTAGGCCTATGTTGACTGACCTCAGCCAAACAGTGGAATTTGTTGTGATTCTTTGCGAATGGGGTGTAAGAGTTGATAGTGATGATGTTGATGTTCACAGCAGTATTTATTGGACCTTTTCACTAAACCAGCTCCAGGATATTGTTGCTAAGTTCCCACAAAGAGATAGCATAAATGCATGTACACACATGTATTTGTGGGACAATGTGTGTTTGTTAAACAAGCACATGTTTACTTTGATGAATCTCTTTCTTTTAATAACCATGTAAGTCACATTACTAAAACTACTAACTTTCACCTACATAATATTGCTAACATCGGAAAATATATTTCAAAACACACAGCTGCTATATTAATAATGCATTGGTCACGTCCCATCTTGATTACTGAAACTCACTTTTCTACTCATTACCAAAAACTGCAATAAATCGCTTCAACGTCTCCAAAATTCTGCTACACGTATTTTAACACTTACCTCTAGATGCTCACATATATCACTGGTCCTTTATGATTTACATTGGCTTCGTATTGAGTCTCGTATCAAATATAAAATCCTGTTCTTAACGTTCAGAACACCTTTTCACCAAACAACCAATTTACCTTGTTGATCTCATTCATGCTTATGTCCCACCTACTTGCCTCCGTTCTTCAAATAAAAATCTTTTAGTTGTTCTTCGAATTAACACCAAAACATTTGGTTATAGATCATATTCATTTTCTGTTGCATCCCTTTGGAATTCATTGCCGAAACATATTTTTGATCACCATCAGTTGTTGTTTTTAAGACTAAACTTAAGACGCACCTTCTTACCATCTGAATGTTATGCGCCTTTGATTTTTAATTCGGTATAGTTGAAATTGGCGCTATATAAATTTTTGTTATTATTATAATTATAATGTCCTGACTGTTATGACACTCCTGGAAATTCGTCATATATTATCGCTATTATATTTCTTATAATCAATATTTACCTATGTTACTGATCAGTTGTAAAATGAAGAAAAATTTTTTTTGTTTCTGTTTATTATTTATTTATGCACACAATACATGTGCCTAGGATTGTCAATAGCGAATATATCACTGTGGCAATCCCTAACACAAGACAATCCCTAACACAAGACAAACATACACGCACAATGCTTTACACAAACTAAATCTTAATATGAGATTTAGGGAGTGGAGTTGTTTTGGTCGTGAGAAAAAATCCACCACACACAGGAATTGAACCCAGGACCCTAGGATTGGAAGGCAAGCATCTTAACCACCAAGCTATTCAACTCCACTCGTTTTATTAGATCGTTTGTCCTGTGGTTAACAGAGACAATAGACTTAAAAAGTGTAGTCCATTAGTATATTAGTATAAATTATCATTCATACTCTATATATTACATGATCATTCTGATTTTTTTTCCTGCAGGATTTTTCACAGGGTAAATTAATCCACCACCCTTCAACAGACCAGAGCTTGCAGATGACCCAAGGTCAACTTATGAAAGAGGTAATTCAATTTTGGTTCTCTTCTACTGGTGGCAGTTACCCTATTAGATCGTTGTGATTATTTCTCGCGTTCCAAGTGGTAGTCGCCTCATATGATTGTGTGACTGATTCTTGCCTTCCAGTGACAGTTGTCCCATAAGATCATGTGACTGATTGTCACCTCCCAATGGAAATGCCCTAATGAGATCATGTGATTGATTCTCAAATGGTCATTTTGCCAACATTCACATTTTGCTTAGCTATAAGAGGATGAAATACATTAATTGAATCAGAATATGTCTATGTTGCTAATAATCTCTACATGTGTTTCATTGCACATTCTGATCATTCGCATTGGACAATAATGAGTACTTCTTTGCAGACCTTAAGTGCTTTCAAATATACGGTATGAGAAAAAAAACATATGGTGAAAGTACGATGAATCTGAACTCGAATGATAATACACTACAAATATATTACTGTACATATCAAAGTTGATAGGCATCACAAATCATGCCAATGATTTACCATTTATTGAATTATTCGCAATCATTACTGCTTTGTTAGTTCAATTAATTGAGGTTATGTTACATATGATGACATATATACGCAACATCACAAGATGGGGTCATGAAAGTAGTTATGGATCTAAAAAAAGATGTGGTTCCCATCTTACAGTGTGTAAGAGGATAAATAAGTGGTTTACACAATTCTAAAAAAATCATTGATATTTTAAATTTTTTAGTGGAGCTATAGGTTTCTGTTTAAGATGCTGACATTCAATCACAGGGTCCTTGATTCAAATCCTACAATGTTGATGGAGTTGAGCTGTAGTTTTTGTGGATACTAGTCTTCCTATCCTAGGGTCCTGGATTTAAATCAAATATAAGCCAGGGTATTTTCCCACATAAACAAATATGCTCTAAGACCCACAATTAGAAAATTGCTCAATTCAGCCTGTTTAGTACCAAAATTGATTCTTAAGGTTCCTGGGAGGTGCTGAATATTCTTACGGGAGGATGTTCTCAAGACTCCAAAGAAAAGGTGTATTGGCTTTGACATATATTCTTTGAAGGGAGAGATCTTCTTGAAAGATTAGCTTCCCTGGATCCGCCACTGATATTGTGTCACCTGTGAGTGTCACCTACGATTAATGTGCTTCTAAAAATAGCGCACATGTATGTAAGTGACACAGGTTGCGATAATAATTCAAAGCATCATAATCTAATCATGGTACTGCAGTCTGATGGTTATTTAACCTGTACTGACCTTTGAGGCAATAGTAGAAATTATAGCTGGACTTGGGTATGTTGTAGGTATTGCACTTCTCTCCTGATACTTGCATACAGTTAACATATGACAGTCATTAATGATGACAAGATATAATAATGGTTATTGAATCCCATAAACATGAAAAGATTTCAAAGCAAAAGAAGTCACTTTGATATCAGCCTTACTAAATTTAATGAACTTGTTTGCCATTTTGTTTTACCTTATCTTTGTATTTATTTTTATGAATTATCTTTTATTTATATTTATCTTCATATTAATTATTATATTTTATCTTTATATTTATTGTTTATTATTTCAATGTTTTTTTTTTATCTTATGTGTATTTTTTACATTTATATTTGTTTTTTTTGTATTTATTTTTATTACTTATCTTTTATTTATATTTACCTTCATATTAATTATTATATTTTATCTTTATTATATTGTTTATTATTTCAATGTTTTTTTTTATCTTATGTATATTTTTTACATTTATATTTGTTTCTTGTTGTTACGACAATAAAGCTTATATTTTGTATCGTAAGATCAATGATTAGATTCTATTTCTCTCTATTAGATTGATGATCTGGAGAATGAACTCAGTGACTTGAATGACAAACTAAACAAACAGAAACGTTACTGTGAAAGGTAAAACATTCTTGAAGATTTCTTTGTTCTTATTTTATAATTTCACTTTATTTAAGAAATTTAAAGCTAAACTTCTAAAATTTTGTTTAAAGAATTTGAAGATACATCACGTTTAATGTTGATATTAGGAAGGTGAGGTGGTAGAGGCATGTCCCACTCCCCCCCCCCACTCAAATTTGAGACTTATACGGTACATTTGTATTCTCTTTCCCACCTCAAAGGAATATTTTTTTGCTTTCCATTTCCCATATAACATTCAAAACCTTGATTGAAGCATGGAGGTATAAAATAGATATCTATTATTTTATTATTTTATATCTATTATTTTTATACCTCCATGATTGAAGTAAAAGTTCCATCAACCGATTGGGTATCCAAATGAGGTACATTCTAACCAATCAAACAGCCATTGTTTGACGATTGCTTAGCATATCATTAGACTAATGCATTGTAGTACAAAAACCCATTGCCTCATTTTCTACTAAAAGCTGATTTTCTGAGAAGTTATGATAAAGATTTCAATGTCAAAATGATAATAATGTACAGACACAGAGACTTTTAGACTAATGTCTTTTGTCCTAAGAAAAAAATGGTAGCAGGAAAAAAAAAAATGTCATTTGCCATCACTTCAGTTACTATTTTTAAGTAACAACCTACTGTATCAAAATATTCAAATAATTCACATCTAGTTTGCTTATAAATGAACTACTGTATACTTATTTGACCCTTTAACTTGGGCTGTGTTTATATAACGCACATGATGTGAACACAGACCTGGGATTACGTAACATTTTCTACTGCCTACAGTCAATCCTTGTTTATGTCCATAAATGTAATCTGAAAATGGATTTGACAGAAAATATCGTAATTCACAAAATGCTTTGTGGGATGAAATGTGGAAGATGTATATTTGTATTTTAATTATCAATCTTTCTTTTTTTTAATAAATAAAAAGCAATTCTCGTCGAGGTTCCAACGTAATCAAGAGGAGTAGTGAATACCAAACAGATGTTTATAAAGTTCGCAACGAGATGCGCAAAATTGAGATGATCATCAAGACAAAACAGTCTCAGGTTTGTGATTAATTCATTAATCATAATCAACTTTATTTCAGTATAATTAAAAAAAAAAAAACCTTTTAATAAGTGTACTTCATCTAGCAAAGCTGAACATTTGAGTAAGGCTATGTTCACACACACAGCGTAAGGCTGGCTTAAGCCTGGCGTAGCGTACGCCTTTATGTGTGAACTAGGCAGTGGCGTTGTTAAGGCCACTCACTATGCCACGTCCTTAACGTTATTAACGCTACCTGCAGACCCCAGATTAGCTAACGCCACTGACACCAGTGATGCTTGAATGATTTGACCTCATTTCAAGAGATTGACCAATCACGATTGCAATATGTGACCCAAGCTCACAAACAGGCTGTAAACTCGTCCTCAGGCCAAAATGAGTTTTTGTTATAATGGTATAGAACATATCATTTACTTTAAAATGACAGTTAAATGAACTCAAACGGGTGTCTGGAAGCAAAGTTATGACCGTTTGAATAAGTGTCATCTTATCAACTTTCTTAAATCAAGTTTTGAGAAAAATGCTTTTATTTTCGGCAGGTGTCTATTCATTTTTCATTAGCTCCCATCCGAAAATGGCTAAATTTTACCTCTTACAATTGGAATTTTAAACTTCAGGAATAGTAAGATTAATAGTTATATTTTATTTATTACACAAAAACCCAATTCACACAAAATTAACATTCTACGCCCTATTCTGGGTACCGAGGCTTGTTTCTCAATACAGTGCAGTGCGAGTTTACAGCCTGTTTGTGAGCTTGGGTCACATATATCAGCTACTTTGGTCTCTTTCCTGTGCTCATCTATGAATGAAAATGGTAAAGGGGTTCTTTTTCTATTGCATTTTACTTAGTTATAATGTATATGATTTGTTGATTATGTTTTGTAAGATATTTTAACCTATTTAGACTGTCTATTAAAACTTGCAACATTAACAACTGTTCAATGCTAGCTGAAAAACCAGAAGTAAATTGTTCATTTAAAATACAATAATCATATAAGTTCACTTCGAACAATTCACAGATTTAAAAGTTTTCATGATACACTGTTAATTTTACTACAGTTAAGAACCCGTACATTATTTAAAACTGAAAAATATTCCCCCATAGTTTAACGAACACTTTGGAATTTTAATCCGTGGATTAGCTTACGCCTGGCTTAAGCCACGCCACGCCAGTCTTACGCCGTGTGTGTGTGTGTGTGTGCCATAATCTCTGTTCAATGACCAAAAAATTGAAAAACAAAAACCACTCAAAGGCGAAGCCAGAGGGGGGACACAACACTTTCAGAATAGATAAGTGGGTATCACTTATTAAACATTGATCATGCATTGAAATAAAAAAATTTAAAAGCAAAGTACCCCCCCCCCCCCAACCATTGAATCGGCACTTGCCACTTGCTACGGTACAATTTAACCAAAAGGTCATGAAGTGTGGGTCATAAATCAAAACACTAAACTACATTACTGTTGTGGTTATTGCTACACACATCAAAGCTTAGACATGATTGAAAATCAAATAGCTAAGTTAGAATTTCTATATATTATTGTCCATTACAACCTAATATACTTGAATGATATAATTCAATATTTAAATTGCTTATTGTATAAGTGATTGAGAAACTAAAGTGAAGAGAAGAATTACCCGCATGTGTAATATCATCCAGGAAATATTAAAACATTCTGACATTCTAGCTGAAGGGTAGAAATATCCTGTTTGGTTGAAGTGAATATGTAGCGAGTTGGTTAATGCAACAAGAAATCAATTTATTACAATACCACCTTTTACAACTATTCAGTTTCATGGCTGTTGTTGTTTGGATTAATAACCGCAATCTTCGTTCACTTCGCTTACTTAACATGCTGACTCTGCGTTACCAGTAAACAAGTGAGAAAGTATAATAGCTTTTTAAAGGTCATATGCCAAGCAAGTTGAGTCTTAACAATGCATTCACTTTATGATGCTTGTGTAATTAATGGTGCATCAACACCGTCATTTATCAGGCGGTGTTGTGTCGCAGTTGTCCTCGCTCTAATCATACTTTAATCTATGGGTAAGATCGCTTGTATCGTTGATTGTTTCCCTTTGACAAATGTCATCAGCTCTCTCCTCTTCTGACTACTACATACGTCATGTGTTGCTGATAACACAAGTCAAAAACATCATTGATTCTAATTGCATAATTAGAGAAGAATAGAAATACTGTGCGCCTCAGGCGTATATGTCGATATTAACATCTTAAATGCCATGTTAACACACATTAGCGCAAGTGTTTTGACTGTGTGTTTATTTAACTATGTTCTTCATATGTTATGAATGTAATTAAAGGAGTTCGATAAAGTTCATGTGAATTAGCTTTATTTACAGTGACTCCTTTTATTTGGAACATGTTATTAAAAGAGTTACAGTTTATGAGATTTTACTGTGTGTATTACTGTGCTCATCATAATTTCTGAATGTAATTAAAGGAGTTATATAAAGTTCATGTGAATAACTGTTAGAATTTCTATAACTCTACTGCTAACATGCACAAAGACCCTCAATATAATAACAAATTTGTATATACTGTACTTATAATCTCAAAGGCTAAAAATAATTTTTTATACCTTTAGTTGGAGCTCTTTTCCTCTGAAGGGGTAGCCATCAAATCAGTCAACGGAATCCAAAAAAATGATTACATTCGCAAAAGTTCTAACCACATCAGTAAAATGCAGAATGACCTTATACGTAAAGAGTTTGAAGTGACCTGTAAAGAAGTTGAAGATTTCACGAATCGGGAACCGGATTACCTACGAGATGACTTCAAACACATCAAGAGAGAAAACGGACGGAGCAAAAGAGAGCCTGAACAAATGCGCAATGAAGTAAACGACGTAAAGAAAGATGGTGTCAATGGACAGATTATAGATTATGGTGTAAGGCGTAACAGTGTTGGTGTGAGAAAAGAAAAGGAGAAAAAGGAAAAAGAGACTGAAATTAAGAAAAGTGAGAAAGATGCTGAGAATCGGAAGACTGATAAAGATGAGTCTGTGAAGAAGGAAGAGAGTACAGAGGATCAAAGTTCGTCCCAGTCTAAAAGTTCTTTTGAGCGTGCATTATCAGAATCGAAGGATGCAGTAGCGGAACTTCTTGAGAAAGGTGGTAGGCAGCATGTTTTTCAGGATTACAACTTCAAGAAACCGACATTTTGCGATCAGTGCCGTGGACTCTTAAGAGGTAAGATCAATATTTAATTAATGTCTTGCTTTGATAATTCTTTAAAATTTACTAAAAGATTTAATTTTGCATGTAGTCAGAGCTAAAAGACATATTATTCTAATATTAAACTACTATTACTATTGGGTCTATATATAATTTGCTTTTAATATGCGTAAATTTACTAGAATAATTATATTTGAATACATTTACATTATTTTATATACATTTGTTTATATATTACAGCACAAACAAAATCAGTTAAAGTAAAAAATTATTAATTCACAATTATTTTTTGTTTAACTTTGCTTGACTATATTCTGTATTTCAGTCTCATAATGAAGGGCATTACTTGAAAATGTCATTTCATATCTCTGGCATCAAGCCAGCCAGTATATACAACCAGTTTACAGAAAACATTATTTTACCTGGCAAAACCTCAAAATATACAGTATGTCGTTTTTGGTACAAAACCAAATGTTAATTTTTCAGGTATTTCATTACGAAGTTGTAACAATCTTAGACATGTAAAATGCTTTTTATATACAAATACACATGATATAGGCTTCTATCAAACTACATTTATGTCTTGTTTAAAGGTTTGATCAAGCAAGGATTGAGGTGCAAGCTGTGTAAAGTCTCAGTGCATCATAAGTGCCACCGATCCGTGCCTGCGTGCCGGGGGGCTCCGGTAAGCTTTCCTCAAAATTTTATTTCATATTGAATAATAACCAAGTTCCTTCATGGAGTAGAGTTGCTTTTGGTTTTTAGGAAAATATTTTTTTTGTATACATGCAAATGTTCTTTTCCTTGAAGATGGAACATAAGAACAATGTGGTATTAACTGAGTAATGTTTATTGTAACTTTATTTTTCCAAAATAATAACAAAATATTGCTAGTGATCTCCTTTTTAAATTTTCCAAACCATTCTTGTTACATATCAATTTTTGTTCCATTCCTCTTTTCTTTGAGACTTCAGCGCAATATTGATATAAAAGGATGTCCTAAAAAATTATCTATCTCAGAAAACAAACCAACTTGTATATTCAACTTCCATTCCCTTGTACGTCACAGTGTATTATATATTTATCTGTGTGTATGTTTATGTAATGTTATTCTCTATAGTTTACCATATGTAATTTATATATATATTTATGGATTTTACTACTAGCAGATAATAAAAATAAATAGAATTGAATAATGTCCCCATAAACATAGTTATGTATCTATTATTAGACTGAAAATTGGAAAAGCATGCTCGTAAAAATGAAAAATTATGTTTTCGTTGACATTAAAGATAAGTTTACTAACACGGTTGGTTACAATAACTGTACTCATCGTAGAAATGCTTGATACTCATCCAAACATTTGTCGACTCTGTTGATGATAATTTCATTCTCGTTGAATGTGTATTAAAAACATAAGTGTATAGTTGTAGAGTCTATCTCATTATAAATATAATTTCCACACATCATGTCAAGTCGATTTTAATTCCCATTATTATTTAACCCTCCTTCCTTTTGTGGTTTTTATTTTTTCCATTAACTGTTTCTTGATTTCCTACAAATCTAGCAAGAGCGTCGGCAGAAATTTAAGCTGTTTCGAAAGCATTCTAGTCTGTCGGAAGTGGAGACTGACGTCGAAAAGAAATCTTGGGTACTGGTGACCTATATATCTGTCTGGCTACCATCAAGCTATCATCATAACTCTCTTTGCATGTAAAGACTAAACTTCTGGAACATTTAGGCCATATATTTCAAATTGTTATTAGCCTCATGTTTTTGTAATTTTGGACATATATTAATTGTCATATTATATATGTCTGATTCTTCAAGTATGTGGGTTATAAACTTCAGAATGCAATTTCCAAAATTGGCAAATTTTAAATGGGTAGTAAAAGCGTGCTGTGGAAAGACATGTATTTTAGTTTTATCCGGCCAAAAATTCCAGAATGTTTAATCATATTCTTTTCTCATTACAGCACTTGCAATACTGCATAGGCAGTTTTGAATCTTTCTTTGGTCATCAGCATGTCATTTAGTCGTCTGTCATCATCATGTGTTGTGCCATTATTGTCTATTTTATATATATATACATATAAAATGAAACCATTTAAAAACTTCTCATTGCTTTACTTTTGATGACTGAAACTGACCTATTATAATATATAACAAATCTTTTTTTTTTTTTTTTTTGATCTCTCAAAACGCAAAAATATAATTGTACATTTTTATTTTCAGTTTTTATTATGGTATCATTAATTGCCTTGCATAAAATGCCTCGTACCGAGGTGGGCCAAGGTTTTATTTCTTTGTTTTCTGGTTGTTTGTCTTGTTTTGTATCTCTGCCGCATGATGCAAAGCCTATTGCAGTGGGTAGGTGTAAAGGGCAGCTGTGGAGCGAAGGATGAAGTAATATCTTAATTAAATAAGTGATCAACACAAAAGATTGTGCACATTGTACGTAATACAAAGATTAATCATAAACATGATTAATGTTGCTGAGATTTTTTACCTTCAGAATGGTAATGGTTCAATCACTTGCTAAATACAAGATAAATGAACTTAGAGAACACTCTGCATGTCTTTCATTTATGTGGAAAAGTGAAAATTCAATTCTGTTTTCTCTAGGCTAATTATTTAGGAAAACAAATTTTACTTGTAACCTTTGTATAAGTGACAATAAAAGAATCTTCAACTAAAATTGTTGATAATTGAACCAAAAGGACGCATGTAGATACTAAAGCCGCCACAGAATTGAATGACTGAATTTGTTTCAGACATCATAAATTAGTATTTTTAGGCTGGAATTTATCCTTATTTATCATTAGTTAACTTGCAGTTTAAGCTCTTTGGAGCTGCATGTAAGATTTGAAATGCTTTAGCTACAGGATGCTCTGCCCCATTAAATATTATTTTTCTATTTTTTATAAATATTTTGTGATTAAACATATATTAGAATTTATTTCAATTCTTTTTTTTTGGGTAATTATTTATTCCCATGGGAATAAAAAGTATAAAACATAACATAGGTACAATTACCATTCCATTCCATTTTGCATTCACTTTCTGACATTTCTTTTATTTATTTATTTTTTGCTTCTGTTTATAATATATTTATAATCAGCTCTTATACAGTAGGTGTCCTTCAACTGCATAACATTTCTTGCGTAAATTCAGCATAAACATTCATTTCTTTTGTGCTACTACCAGCTTTGTCTATCTAGTTCATATCAAAATAATGTACACTTGATTAAACAGCCATGTTGATTAAACACAATCTAACATAAATGGAGTCGGCAATAACATGTACTTCAAGACAACGTACTCTGTAAATGATATTAGCATTGTGAATGTTAACCTACACAGTACAGACAATTACATTAGCGCCTGTATTTTGTCCCTTGAGAAATGAAGCAGGCACATTAACTGTACGATTTACAGTCTTCTGTCTAGAATTTGCGAACGTTCCATTTTGAAACCCTGCACACCGGTAGAACTTCTCTACATGCTTTTTGTTTACATAAGCTAGTAATTTATTTATCCAGCTTAAAATGTGGGAAATTTAAATTCTATTAAAACATGCAAAAGGACATTGTTAAAGTATGTCAAAATATGAGATATTTGAAAAGAATGACACTATACTATGAAATTTTAGATTATCAAAAACAAAATTATTGTACTCAAAATAACAATAATAATAATAAAATGATGATAATTAGCTTTTTTTCTACCTTCCCACATTGGTCACTTTTCGTGCTTGGATCTTCGTTTTAAATATAGTCCAAGCAAACCCTCAAATAGCAGAGATGCGCTTAGTAAAAATACACATAATTCAATACATTTCTTATATTATTAATAAACTGGTAATTAAACTATTATTTTAACACTTACAGTACGTAAATTTCTATAATTGGTATTTTCTTATTAGCATTTCAAACTAGTTAAAGTTAGGTTCAACACAAATTTATTCTGAAATGCATAAACAATCCTAGCTATCAACTTTTAAAAATGATGGAAAGTTGGTCGATGCGACAGAATACGAAATAGACTGAAAATCCACCTAATTTGACATGGTTGGGTTATAGTTATGGTAATAGTTAGAACTCTCCATTATATTTATCTTAATTTCAGTTCTCATTAATTTATTGTTCATATTTGGTTTTATACACAAGAAAAAAAAATACAGAACATTAAATAAACATCTTGTTTTATTGACAGACAATGTAAATATAGAATTTTCACTGATGTTTCTTCGGGGCATTTGCATACCTTAACACAATAAAAGTTGGTTAATTGTTTAATGTGGCAGATATGCATCTTGCGTAATAGATTGATGTCCGGCCGGCAGGCTTATACTTTGAGTACAGCACTAGATCTGGGGCAGGTAAATGCCTAACACAGACGATTAGTTTATCACTGTTCTTTCGGGCTTCGTTGGTGTCATCGTGTCTCTTGTCATCAGTCAATATTGCTTCACACTGTGTGATGCTATTTCTGTGATGGTTATTTTGGTTTATCTCAGTGGTGGATGTTGAAAGTAGACAATTGATAGATTCAGAGGATTTAAAAAATGGAGGAACAGATATGAAAAAACTAAGGGAAGAGGCAGAAGGCGTATTTTCTTTCTCTATACTAAATGGGTGAATTTAACAGTCAAAATTCTGTACTACCTGGTTATGTTTGATCATGATGTGAAGGCACGAGTCTACAAAGAGCTCAGTATAAGCTAGTCTTGAGTTGGCAAGTGATTTTCAAGTTATAAGTGATTGCCAACAAATGCAGGGGTGGATTTAGAGGGGATTTGGGGGGGGAGGGGTGCGCCCCCCCCCACCCCTACCCTTTTAAGGAAGTAAAAAAAAAAAAAAAAAAAAGAAAGAAAAAGAAAAATTGATCGCCCAAAACACCTCAGAGGTTATTTTTGGGCGTCTAGAAATCAAACATTCCATGGGGGCTTGTCCCTGGACCCCCAAAGCTGGTGTTATCTCGATTGGCCCCTACTTTCACCCCCTTTTCAGACATCTCTGGATCTGCCCCTGAAATGTAACTACTTGCCCAAAATGGCAAGTGAATATCTAAGAACAACAAGTGATTACACATAATGGCACCTGAAAAAGATTGTCAAAAAGGGCATCTGGATTGCCCAATGCATGCGATTGCCTTTAGCATGTGGTTGCCAATAATATTTTTTAAAATGGCAAGTGATTTTCTATTTAAAATATGAGGGATTTCCCAAGATTGCAATAATGGCCAAGTTGTTTCTCAAAATGGTATCATATCATTCCCAAAACAGCAAGCAAGGACCGACCTGCTAAGCTCTGCCCTTTGAATTGTTGTCCCAAAAACCAACAGACACGTTGTATGGTCTAAAGCTTGTGTGTGGGAAGTGTGCATATTTGCTGGTCCCATATTCTGGTCAGTTGTTGACATTCTGGAAAAGGTCTACTGCCTGAAATGGTTTGTGATTGTCCATAATATTGCAAATGATGTATCAAAAAATGCTAGCAATTATACAATATAGCATGTATTTATCCAAAACAGCATGAGATTTCCCAAGATGGCAAGTAATTGTCAAAAAAATGTAAGCATACCCCCAAAGTCAAGGGTCAGCCTAGGTTTCCTTACCATGTATATTTTTTACTCTCATGAAATCACAACTATTCCATAATTCTTAACTAGTATGGAAATTTTAGAATATGATTTTTTTTATTTATAATTATCATGCTTACCACTGCCATAAAATGTTTCTAATTAGAAATTTTTGTTTGTTACTAACAATTAAATAGATATAAAGCATTTAATAATCTGCTTTTTAAACTCTTTTACAATATAGCATCCACTAAGATCCTAATTTCTATTTGTTATTTATTATTATAATTTTTTTTTCTCCTCTGAATAGATGTTTTTTGCCATTTTACTAAATGAGGAAAATAATCTTTTATTATTCTCATCCTCTTCAAAAGATCTCTTTTATGATAAACGTTGCTAAACAACCTACAGGATTCCTCCAATTAAAGATCCAATGGCCTTCAGCAGCTTTGGTCTCTAATTAACATCTCAACGAGATTTGATTGACAGATAAACCGACTAATCAGCGAGCGTTATTTAGTCATGTGATCAAAAACTTTTTCTTGGACATTTTAATTTCCATAGACAGCTGGTTGTCAACGCGAAACATACGTGAGCCTAGGCCTAGATGTCTATGCTTGGTTATAGATACCCAGATTTACACAAGCAGTGCGCATCAGTGACTTGGCCTTTGCCAAGTCACTGAGGTTGACTGAATGCGACTTTTCCCTCTTCCTTTGGGATCGAAATACAGAGGCTTTTACAACAATTTCCCTGCCTGTTCCATGAAATAGATTAACACTATGAATATATGATTCATTTGCATACGGCCTACCCTGAATTCTCTTTTTTAAAGAAGGTTGATAGCAAAGAAAATGTTCGCCAACTCGGTAAGTCTAGCCGCCATTGTCTAAGGTTTTCGTGACTTTGTGGGCGGGGCTTCGCATTCTTGTCGACATGTCAATTAGAGTAATAAAGGTTGATTTACAATGTTCCAGGAGCTGCGGGCACCACATGTGGTGTTATGGTGCACTGTTGCTGATGCGCAGCCCCTGGACTGATTGTGCCAATAAAGTAAATGAAAAAATTAAAATGAAAAGACATTTGTTAATTTGGGACCACAGCAAAGTGGTCTTTGATTGGAGGTGGTCTTTAATTGGAGGGAAACCTGTATAACAAGCCTTTGCCTATATACATTGCACACTTATTAGCACTGCAACTATTATATACATTTTTATAAATAACTTATAATTATTTTACATTTTCATATAGCATCTGTGAAAGTAGTGTGGACTATTGAGTGATTTGCGATGCCACTATCGTTCATCCACCTTTGCATCAATTTTATTGCCAGTAATGTAAAATATTGCAACTTATATTAATGTATTTTTTTTTAACTAGTCTGAGAAACGCAAGCTCTTGCGGAGGCAGAAGAGTTCGTCAGAGGTGGAAGGACCACGAGATGAGACTCCGCGTATCGGTAAGAAAATAACGAGTTTTTTGAGAATGATTAATGATTCGGCCATGCAAATGCAACAAGCATTTCCACATCCTTTTTTGCTAATGACTTGACCTGCATTACAGCTAAGAATAGGATGAGGACATAATGATATTTTAATTTATAGAAGGAATAACGTAATTAATGTAAGAAAATACATACACCTGGAAACCTTTCCAAAGAAAATATATTTTTCCTAAAAATTCTATGACACTATACCTCAAAATTCTATCAATATTTTTCCAATTTGTTTGGAACATGGTGTGAATTGTGTTATTTATGAGGATTTTTTGTAAGGTCATATTTAATATTTGGGTAAATTTTACACTTTCAATTTTCTAGAAATTGACCCTGTGTACGAGGCCATCAAATCTGCATCAAGAATGTCAGTACGCAACCACGATGGATCCAGCAGTAGCCGACGAAAATCGTCATCTAGCCCAACCAGTCCAAATCATCGCCACACCACAAGCTCACCCGGTGAGCTTCTTGATTACTCCAATGCGGACAGTAGTAGTCGGGATTCACTAAGCCCAGGACGCTCCGGAGGAGCAACCCCAAAATCAGCACCTCATAGGTTTGTATATTCATATTATTATATAAGATTATTCATATAAAATTATACACTTATTATATAGATTAAAACAGACCTAAATGTTCTTAATTTAATGTAAGCCTAAATTTATTTTGAAAATATGGTTGGTGATACTATGGTAATAAATTCAAAGGTTAAAGGTTATTCATTTATACTGCGCAAAATACGAGAGTCTATGCACAGAACAAATGAGCAGATGTAACTGAAAAAGAAAAAAAAAAAGAAGAAAATCCATGCCAGCACCCGACCACATCCTCAGATTTTTTTTTCGGTGATTGGCTGTAATATAGGCATGTTTATTTATATTAATAATCAATTACAATTACAGAGTGTTGATACTCACATATCATTTACTTCACCAGTTAAAAAAAAGGAAAAAAATCATGGCTGACTGGCCAGATTGCCCAGAAGCTACATATCATTACAAAAATACATTCGTGTATATTAAAAATATATACCAGTATAAATAATTATACCTTATCTTGTTTCTCAAATTACTGAAGTAAATTACTTTTTTACAGGCATATATTTAATTCACAACCACTGGCAATTCTATTGCCAAGTCCTATTCACAATTTAGGCTAATTTTTAAATACAGAATTATTATCAATGTTGTTAAACAAAAAGTTGAGTTCTACTTTGAGCTTATTTCAACCTTAACTCTACCTGGCATGCCTATTGTTGCAAAGAAACTACTCAATCATCTAACTACAGATGGATGGCCACTTCAAGTAAGAGAAAGATCGAGACATCACAAAGGTTGTGATATCAATAACCAACGAAAAATTAAGTCTCAAAAGGTCATGAGGTTCGGATTTCCAGGTGGCTCTTAATAACCTCATACTTCACATCAGTGTTTCTCATCTGCCACCATCTTCCTTTTTAATTGAATCATAGATCAAGGCTTCACGACTTACTGCACCATAGAATAACTGATAGTGCGAGTGTAAAAATGTACTGATTAATTATACATAGCCATTTATAACATTAATCAATTCAATCAGCAATAGCCTTTAACAAATTAAAAAGTTAGAACCTTCACTATTAAAATATTTATGTAACAAAATACAATTTACGAAAGTATAATACATACTCCAAGTATTGAAATACACGCCATTGTGTCGTGATTCAATATTTCAACATTAATTATGTCATCATCAGGAATACAATTTACATTTATGTATTTAATAATACAATCCAAATTAAGCAATGCATAACAGGTAAAGGAGACATGATTAATTCAAAATGGAATGAAGCCAAAGGCATCAAGTTGGCCTATGATATATGTATACATTAAAACATCATGTTGTTTGTTTGTAATGATTATACCAACTAACAGGTATCAATCAATTATTAGAAAAGCATTATTATTTTTATAGAAATCTACATCTATATTATTTTTACCATTTTAATGTGCTTAACAATAAAAATAAAAATGCTAGAAGAAATTTAAGAAAAGTACACTTTAAAAAGGTGAGTTTTTAAAGCTGCCTCAAAATCAACAAAATATTATAGACATATTATGTTACTTTGGGAGTAAGGAACTTTACCTTTTGTTACAGTGATTTAGTTCAGTTTAAGTCCAGCTGTCTGCTCCCTGAGTTGTTTTTAAAGAATAAGAATAACGAATTATTGAAGTTTCAAAGTCGTACCATGTGTAGTTCATAGGCCTATCTGATTTGTTGCAAATTTAGTGTTATTAATTCCATGAGAAAATGATTATTTAATTATAATGTCCTGACAACACAAAATATATAAGCAATTTGGGTAGTTATATACTCTTGATCAATTGCCGCAAATTATATTTGAAATTAAATGTATCTATTACACACCTTGGCACCTAAATCAAGATTGGCAAGTCTTCAAAAGAAACTCTTATTTTATTATTTATGGTATGCTCAGGTATATACTTACATAGAGGCATGGTAATACTGAGACGCGAGTGCTGCATCTACACGAATCATAATAACAGTTCATTAATGAAAATAAAGTAATTGTTCTATTTTACCTCTCAGTTCCGGAGGTTTACTGAATAAATTGAATTGAATTGAAATGACATCATTGTTAAATACATCTATCATAATCACATTCAATCCACTATAGAGAATACAGGATGTTTTATTTCAACATGGATGAATGTGTGAAATTAATATTTAATATACACTTAATCAAACAATTTAAAATAATTTAAATCCTTGTGCTATTCTCAACTGAAATTTTATTTGTGTGTCATTATATTTAACACAAAAGCCTGATATTTTCTCATTAAAAAACACAGTTTCAATACAATGATTTCCTTATAGTCTGCTCAAGGCTGTTCCAACAAGTGCAATTTACCCATCTGACATATCAAGAATACAACTTGGTCTCGTTATTTACATGCATTCTTAATTCCAGTTGTCTTTCATTTTTTTCATTAAATCTAGAACCTAAAATTTAAACTGAACCTAGTTTCCATATTGCATCAATATTCTTTGTGCACACATGCTTCCACTAATGTAAGTTAAATTCTAATTAAAGTTACACTTAAAATTGATGTAATGCTACTAAGTACAGAGGAAGGTCATTTTGATTATAGTAGTAATATTACTCATGTTAAATAAGGTAAAATAATGTAAATATGCATATCAACAAAAATGGCACAACCTTCTGGTTTTAAGTTTAGCTGTTCGTAAAATCATAAATTATTATTATTATTATGTTTCTCATATTTTGTTTTCTGTTTTCTAATGATGTATTTGGTTTTCTGCACATTATTGGTATATAGAAAACATTTTAAAGATCAGAAGTATCCTAAATTCTCAATTCTTAATACTTTTTTTTCTTTTTCTCTTCCGTCTGCCTAAACTTGCTACTCCTGGATACTTGGAAAACCCTTTTTTTGTAAAATAAACTTTACTTCAATTATTTTCTCTCTTTTCTTAACTTATATGTTATATATTTTTATCATATCTGTTCTGACCTCATCTAACCTTCAATCCATCCCATTTGACCTCTGCATGATCCCAACACAATCACCCATTCTAACATTAACAACATAATTTCAACATTGACTTTTCTCAAGTTAATGTTTTTATTCTTAACTTGTCTCTACTTTGTATCATTTCATGAATGATCTCATATATATTAGGCCTTACTCATTTAATAAGTGGAGAATATATAGAAACAATCGATCTGATTTTGTCTTTGTTTCTCCTGATGTTTTTAGTCCAGCCTCGTCCAGACGTAAATTGTTGAAAAGTTACGGGAAAAGCATGTCTTTAGATGCGGAACCTCGTAAGTTATTGATTTATTTAATCTTTCTTTATACTGTAGGCACTTTCAGTACTAAAGTACTGGTTTTCAAAGTGGTACTGTGACAAGAAACGTATACAGTAGAAATAATAGTAGATTAATTTTCTTAAATATAATTTATTAATGATTGATATATATATATACATGGATTGTATAAGAGGCATTAAGTGTATAGACAACTGGCAGAAAAAAGACAAGTTTTATTGCATAATTAGTGGCAGAGCCAGAAGCCATTTAACTCCTTGCACTGTTTTATCTGGCAAAAGTGTAAATTTCACTGTAAATATAGATTCAGAAAAGTGCCCAGTTCCTGTTCTGTACCGTAACTCTTCTAAAGCCCAATAAAACTGGGGGAAAATGGGGCATAACCACCCTTTTTTCACCTTCCCCCCCCCCCCCCAGTTTTTAAATATTCAAAAATCTGTGTCTCATTGACCTCTCCTGATATGATTTTTGTGTCTTAGAGAAGCCAGTTGTATAACATATCAAACAAAATTTTCCATCGGAGCCTGGCTTTAAAGGTATACTCTTTGTAATGAGTAGGAAAAAAAATTAAAATATACCTTGTGTGTTGTATTAAGTTATTAATCTCCAATTAGAAAGCTCAATCAGAAAAAAATTGTATTCACGGATATGTAAAGAATATAATTTCTTTATTCTTAGCGTAGATACCGGAATACTTATTTATCATTTTATAGTAGCTACTCAATGCTTTAATAGATTTTACTAATTTTATGATGGCACTTGTGGTAATTAAAACTAATTAAACAATAGGAGTAATTAATGAGATGTTGATTGTCAATGCATAATGTGTGTATGTGTGATCCTATAATCTGAGAGCTTACAAGGCAAATATTATTGATTAAATGAAATAATATCATATGTGTATGATTAATTGTGAGTATCGACTCTTTTTTTCATTCCACTCTTTTTTTCATCATTTTTATTTAACTCTAGTTAGAGACTGATAGGTAAAAAATGGAACGGGTCCCAGTTCAAAGTACCTATCAGAACATATAACAATGCAAGAATAGTACAACATTAATAGTAATATTGACCACTCTTACCATGCTATAGAAATAAATTGCTGAATGTACAGAAACAAATGTGGTCATTATCATAATTTGTATGTGTGGGTGGATATTTATGTTATAGGAAATATGCTTGTGTAGAAAACAAATGCTTTATATATGTCAAATATACTGTAGAATTAGGCCAATATGCCTCTATTCATTGTAAATGTAAATCTGTGATGTTTATTGCTGGCAGAAATGGAGTGCACGTTCCAGGCGACAGTATTCTTGACTGCTTTTTCCCCCTCACCTTAATTTAATTTGTGTGTCTTGTTTACCAAAAGAATAAATTTATTTAATCAATTAATAATTTTTATAATAAAATGCATTAGGGCACAAGTGTAGTAACATATGTACATGTTATAAATGAAATTGATTTTCTGATCTTGGAAGTCTTAATTTATATTGTGCATTTTACTTACCAAAAGAATAAATTTATTCAATCAATTAATAATTTTTATAATAAAATGCATTAGGGCACAAGTGTAGTGACATATGTGCATGTTATAAAGTGAAATCTTAGTAGAACGTAATAATTAAAAATGAATATAATAATTTTGCCATATGCACTAAATTTGAATTTCCTAATACTACTTCTATATATTCTCTTGAGAATATGCAACATTAACAGGCATATTTTGGTTATAGTTATCCATAAATCCATATTTTGTAACTTTTGCACACAATAAAATTAGTATGCCAATTTCGAAGACTTTATAAAAGAAATTGTTGTTGCTAAAATTATGAATATAGATTTGCTGTTTAGAACAAAAAAGGAGAATCAGCAGTAAAGTTGAAAGAAACCATAATCAAGCTTCATTTTTATATTTTCAGAAGCTGCTGCAAGAGGAGGCAGTTTCTATGGTTACAGAGTAAGTACTAGATTGATGTTCAGGTTTACAATAATTTGCTTATTGTGTTACATGGCCAATATACAATGTTCCTATTAAGCATGTATTTTTCCATTAGCATTTAGGATGATAATGGTATTTGTGCTTATATAAAAGGGTAAAACATGTTTTCTATATGCATGCAAATTAGTGCAATAACATAATTGACAAACAGAATATGTCAATAGTGTGTTGTCACAGCAACCAGTTACATAATCATGTTTACCATTTAAAACTATTGAAATTTCAATTTATATATGGTTATAAGTATAGTCTTTAGCTAAAAGTTAGATGTGTCTGATTATTTAATGTATGTACATGTATGTACGTACGTAAGGTATTTACATGTAAGTACGCACATATTTTATATACATAAGAATTATGGATAATTTAATATATTTTACTTGTGTTTTTGTGCAATAACAATTACAGTTTGCTTTAAATATTCCTTATTTTTCTTAAGTTTCAATATACATTTCTACAGTATTTACCGCATCTTTCTAACAAGCTGTTCTTAACATCAAGTCAGTGTCACTAACATACATGCAAATATTAGTATTTGCTGCCATTTTTTTAGTGCCTTATTTTCTTGCTCTTTCGTCTGCTTTATGCTTGTGTCTGTTTTGTTACCTGTATAGCCCCGTAGACAACAGTCAGACATTGAACAGCTTGAGGAGTCTGATTCCGAGTCCTATATCAGAAGCTCTCCTATTGGTCAGGTCGTTTCAGGCTCGTTCCGTGACCTAAAGGTATACAATGTTTTTTCTGGATACTTTCACATTGATACATATATTTCATTTCATTTATAAATATAATTTTTAAAATTAATTTAAAAAAATAAATAAATGAAATTTAAAGAATAATATAAAGTTTAAATGACATTAAAAAATACAAAAAACTGTTACCTGTATGATATTATATTTATTTTTTTTCAAATAATATTTGTATTTACAAAAACAATTATAGAAAAATAGGTGAAAAATCCCCCCAAAAAAGAGAAACAAACTCTATCGGTTTCACAAAAATTATACATAATTTGAAGAATGTGCATACTGTATACAATAAAAAATAATTATTTAAATATCATTAAGTATATTAAATGCAATGTATCAGGCAATATAATTGGATTAATGTCAACAAATTAAAAGGTGAAGGAAAAAAGAAGCAACAAAACACTTAACAATATAGCTAGATGGAATATTCGTATAAATTGTGATAGGGGTGTAGCGGAGAAGAAATTAAGAGGTATTAGTTACCGGGGCTGGTGGGTTGTGAGGCGTTACACCTTCAGTAAGATCATTTGTCACTAGTAGTAGAGTCTCCTACCACTACAGAGAAGGGGCAGATGCATGTGTCTCCAGGCTAACGTGAATATACCCCCAACTCTTAGCTAAATGATTCATGGCACTCTCGTTATTTGACTGCTGCATAGTCTTTCCACACCCCACCCTACCCCTCTCCCCTCCAGCAAACAGGATCTGCCACTGTAGAGCATTTATCTAATAAAAATCGAAAAAAACAATAGAAACGGTTCTTTGTTTTAGTCCAACTGCGCCAAATCTCCCAAGCCCTGGCTTACCTAACCTAGTATTCTTTTTGTGTACCTAGGCCTACCTTATAGGCCTGGCCCCTGGCCTAACTTAGCTAGGCCCCTGACCTAACTAGGCCCCTGACCTAACTAGGCCCTGCCCTAACTATAGGCCCTTGACCAGTGGGCCTTGGCTAGGCCCCTGGCCTAGGCCCATAGCATCAATTCAGAATCTGAATGCCAATACGGCAACATTCAAATCTAATTAATTTTATAATGAATATTATACAACAGAAATCCATCGCTTACCGATTATACAACAGGTCTTATGTTACTTACTCTATTACTACAGGTCTTATTCTCTTACTCGATTACAATTACAAAAGACTGCGAGATTGAGTATTTGGGTTTGACACCATTGACCTATCATACTCCTAGCACTAATGAATACATTATTTGGTATTTGACATGGTATTTGACCGCTATCGTTAATCATTGTGAAGATAACCTGTGTGAGGCTGTATGGTATTAGAAACGTCATTCTTAATACCCTTTCTATGGGACGCCAACTAGGTCAATTGTATATATATGTATATATATATATATATATATATATATATATATATATATATATATATATATATATATATAATGTAATAAAAGTTCATGATATCTTTTATTGTTTTTTCATCGTATTAATCATGTAATTGTTAGTAAAGTTAATAAACCTGTATGGAATTGTTTTGCGCTGTCTATTTGAGCTAAAAATACTTTAATATCTATATATATAATATCTATATATTTGCTTATCTATTTTGATTAAGTTATTACAGTAGCTTTCAAATCAGATTTAGAATGAGAAAATATGTGAGGCCTCACCACAAAATGAGTCTCATGGTAAGAATATCAAAAATTATATATATATTATATTTATATTATATTTGGGTAGATCACATTATAGGCTTTAATTTGGTCTTTGAATGGCTTCACTAGGATATGTAGATCCAGAGATGTGGGCATTTAAATATTATGTGTAATAGAACCACATTTTGAGAAAATCGGCCTCCAAGATAAACTAACCTGTACAAGTAATAGGACTAGAATTACAGAATATGCACAGAGAACACTGTTTTAGTAAGAAAATTCACTTAAAAAGTATACAATCATTAAATATAAATATCAAGTTATCAAAAAACATTAAAATCAAAATTGTGTAAAAATTTTGACTTTGGCCTATTTTGGTGATTATCTCAAAATGATTTCACCAACGATGCGTCTCATTTCGTGGTGAGACCTCACATATTGTTCTTGTAAAGTAAAGAAATTAAAGATACTCGTCCATATTATTTGCGTAGAAGCTTCAATTGCATGATTATCAATTATGTTTTGTCCACACTATCAACTTATATGCGACAAAAAAAGTTGCCATATATGGATGTACAATATGACATCATCATACCCATATATGGGCACATCACATAAATTTGTCACATAAAATGTGATAGTGTGGTTTGACCTGGAGCTAAGGATTTGCATATTTAATATCTGTAAATCAGTGACAACCTCATTTGTTTCGTTCCATGTCTCATTTGAAATTTGATATTGTTATTCTTTAAGTGATCAAATTGCTCATTATCTTATTACAGACAGTGTATATATTAACATTTGTACAATATAACTAAATTTTAAAAATGGTTAACATAAGCTGTTCGTTCTTCTGACATCATAAATTATATTGTAGTGTAACTTATTATATCAAATGTTATGATAACTTCTTATTCATAATTTATTCTTATTATTATTATTATTAGTATTGTTATTATTGAATATATACTTTAAAAATCGGAAACGATTAAAAATTGGGTGAAAATTATAATAAAAAAAATCATTATTCTTGTTTTGGATGCATGTATGTAACTTAATTTTTGTAGATCATGTTAAAGGTGTATTCAGAGAAATGTTACCTTCATTTTTTTATGGATAGAATTTTGATGTTAACCTATATTTAGCTTTACATCAGATCATCCCAGCATACACCTGTCTTAGTACAAACAAAAGAATTTTATCATCACTTAGAGCATCTTAGAGTTGAGTATGCAGAACAGCTCGTAAACGAGACATCTTAGTTGACATCCCATAGTGCAATTTAAAGTTGAATCTGATTTGATTGACAGTGTCAATGACCCTTTGACTTATTGATAATTTTAGAAGAATCCATAAAGATAGTACAAATCAATACTTAGTAATAAAAGCTTAGGCGAGACCTTTTTTATACCTTGTTTCGCGGACTTGTTTTTTTAAAGATCGTCAGAGGAAGGTGGAAAAAAAATAAAAATAAAATTTTGTTTTCTTATTTAGCAAATACTGTAGTTTAGCCAAAAACATCCAGATGGAGGAGAAAATGAAAATAAAATTTTACTGTTGGAATTTAAACAATGTAGTAATGGGATGGTTAAGTGCTAAATCTTATATAATTAAGAAAGAATATACATATCTTATTTTTGGAGATTTCAAGGCAGTGACTGGCATTATAAAAATAAAGGAAAACTTTTTTTGTGGTGGTGGGTGCGCTAATTGGCCAAAAATAAAATTTAATTTTTATTGAAATCGTCATTATACGGCAGGTTCGCTGAACAAGGTATAAACAAATCCTCGTCTTATACATGCAAATGATCTGGCATTTAGAAAAAAAATAATATACATAAGAGTTAATTGCTCATTTCGTATGCGGGGCCATGGGGAGGTAACTAATCCATTTCTGGGAAGCATGAGTAGCATATGTATAAGTATATGTTATATTTATTTGTTAGGAGACTTTTAAGAGACTTTTTTATACCCTGTTTCGCGAACTTATTTTTTAACAGATCGTCAGTGGATGCGGGAAAAAAAATTAAAATAAAATTTTGTTTTCTTATTTAGCAAATGGTCTTGCCTTAAGAGATGATAGTTGTTAGAAAAAAATGTATTTGCCTCATCGCAATTTGAATCTAAATCCCTTTCAATTACCGTTTGGTTGCTTTACCACCCAAGCCACGAGGCCATCTAGTATATTTCTACATTTACCAAATTCTCATGATGATTGCACAGCAGCAAGAGGTCAGGGGGCAATTTCTGTTGTATTTGTTGAACTGTGTCTGCAAAACAATGTTGTAGACAAATACAAAGCAGGATATTATTTGTAAAAGAAATTCTCGTAATCTCGAAAAGCTCTGATGGCAGCATAATAGAGGCATTAGAGCTAAAAATGATCTATTAGTCAGTCATCGATATTAACTTCATTTAGAATTAGGATTATTTATTATTTTATGCACTTGTTAAATCTTACGATATTATTATTAGTCTTTTACATTGTTTTAAATAATTATTTTGCCTTTCTCTAGAGTGAACGAGATGCAGGAAGCTCAAGTTTATCAACTGGCCGCTATGATGGCTCCAATAGAACACTAAGCAAGTCACCGAGTAGTTCCACAAATGTGTCTTCCAAGGTAAACATTCAATTTCACTATGAATATCTTTAAATTGATTACCAGCCATTTTAATGTGAACAATACAGAAACAATATCATTTATGCATCTTGTATGCAGTTGGCAATGAAAATATAATTTATCGTCAAAAATGAAAAGTGCGGTAAGCAATTTTAATGTTTATTAGCTTTAACTTTATTCAACTCATGATATGTAGTTTTAACTACATAGTCTGTAACGTAATCTGTAATAGGCTGTAATAAAGTTTGACTGCACTATGACAATATTATGTAGATCTTGTGCTTTGTTCTGCTTATGCTTTGTAATTATTAACTTTGATATCAGGTAATGTACTTTTTCTTCTGTAATGCAAATGTTGACCGTAAATTTGTACTGATTGGTCATTATACCTTCGCAATGGATTAATTTTCACCAAGACAAAGGTTAACTTCACCTTGGTCAAATTGTACAGCCGTTCACACTTGGATTTAAATACACAGTAGATTTTACCAAGCCTTAATAAGATCTTGCTCATACATCATCCATCCAACTGTAGATAAATTTTGTGAAAAACAATGCAGTAGTAGCACCTGCCTAGGAATATTGAATTGGGTGAAGCTCTTCATATAATGCCCTCTCCAGACTACCAAATTTCATTTGATAAAAAACTGTTGTGATGTCATCATGACCATATTTAGGCATGTCACATGTTTTTATCATATAAAGTTTTTGGGAGAAACAGTCTGGTTAATCTTCCTGAGAAACTTTCGCTCAGTTAAAGTCACCGAGTGCACTGGTAATTTGACCAAGGTGAATGTTTAGCAGGCTGTTCACATCAATTTTTTTTTTTTTGTCAACTGACCAGGTACATGGTTAGTTTGACTAGAAACAGTCCAATCTGAACAGGCCCTTACAAGTAGCTTTACTATGAGAAAATGTTGTGCCGACCCTATACATAATTTTGGCTCTGTTTACTCTTCTCTTTGCAACATGAAGGCTCCGACCCTTTCCCAAATAAATCGTAAGGGGCCTCTTTCATCAAGCTGCCCGACTGAGTCATCGGCGAAAATACTTGGCTCTCGGAGCATCAAACTAAAGGTTCTATCTATGATCAAGTGTCTTACCATAGAAACTTCTATGATGATGAAGGACCAGTTTGCAGCAAGCTGTCAAAATTATAATTCATCAGATAATACTAGAAAATATATACATTTTTCTTTAAATATATAATTTAGTGAAAAAAAAAATACCAAAAGTATTTGTTTTTGTTTCAGACAATTTTTGTTAAATTTATTCAGTTTTTATTCTTTAATTATGCATTTTAAGAAGTAAAAGTTTCAAAACTTTTTTATGTTCATCCTGTAATAAGTGGCAATTTTTCGGTGTTGGTTTGGAAGTGAATAAATAAATAAGTAAATAAATAAATAAATAAGACATCTTCTTTTCAATTATTTGTTTTGACTTCAAGAAATATTTGTTCATTTCTCTTTGGCATATACTAGGGGGAGAGGGTTGAAATTTATTAATTCATCAAATTATGAAATAGTTTTATGGACAGCAAAAAGCTTAGTAGTAACAACTGTACTTCATCATCAGAGAGATTTAATGTTTGCTGAAATTGTACCAATCTTAATACAAAAATAATGGCTATGTTCACACACAGCAGCCAGGATCTGGATTGCATACATACGCGCTCACTGTGCGTTCATACAAGAAAATTCTGATCCGGATATCAGGAAGATGACAGTGGGATAACTGTCCAATAGTAAACTGGAAATTGGAAATGAGTACTTGTGATTGGTTAATGATAGATACGTACTGAACTTGCTGCCGATAGCGCTTGCTAACCATTAGCGTATCCGGATACTGGTAATGGTTAGCGCTAACCAATCGGGCGTTCTCACACAGGCGCTAACGGTTAACTCCCGATCCGGATACTAGGGCTCTTGTGTGAACAGGACCAATATCTCCCTGTGCCACCCATATTTAAAATGTTGAAATTGTAGATTAATGTGGTTTAAACACGTTCTCTTCCTTCCGTGTATGTTTGATGTGAATTATGTTGTAACCTACTGCATTGTAGAATGTCTAATCAAGTGCGTCCAAACTAATAAACCGGGCATATTATTAAACTCCTACCTGACTGGTCGTTCAATATTAATTATTCCTCATAACTTGTTGGGCAATTTCGTCCAATATTTTATCTTACTTAGATACCTTTTCCTGATTTTAATTTTATATTGTTTAGAATCACATCCTGGTATTTTGAGGCAACCGTTATCCATCACATAACCTTTCCGTTTATGTGATCCACCTTGCCAGTATACTAACAAAACCCAAATTTTGTGAAGTGTTTCTGAAGTTTTCTTTTGTATATTATTCTGTTCATTCTGAAATTGGAAACAATCAATATAATATGTGTGTTAAAATAGCAAAAGAAGTAGAAAAACCCTTGAATGTTTCCAATAGAGCATGCCAATCCACTATAAGAAATATAAATGTTGATTATAACAAAAAGTATATCGTATTATATTGCCTATGCTACAGTCATGGTTTGAAGGACCTGCTGCCCCTACTTGATACCTGAACATCTTTTCTGTCAAAAGTACTTACTTTCAGTTTCCCCAGTTTAGTTTCACCAGTGGCGTATCTAGAAGCCTTGAAATTTTGGTGCTGAAGGGTGGG